CTCATGCCATAATAGTACAGTACTCTTCAAATGTATTTCCCACCCCTCTCCAAAGGTGGGTGTTGCCTTCATGAGAAAATGGGCAAGAGCAAACCCAGGAGCTTTCTCCATCCCTCCAGCTTGTGGCCTGCAGGGTAGCATTTGTTTCAGCAATCGGCAGAGCAGCCAACACACAAGTATAAGCCAGAACCCTCTAAGAACTCAAGAAGGCATTACCAGAGTATGTCAGGGCCTTGCCCCTTAACTGATGTGGAAATCGAAGCAATCAAACCACCTGCCATATGCACCATAACCACAACAGGAAAAAATAGGCAAAGGGTAGGGGCTATTGGGAAACTTCCTACTTAGGAAGCAATGTTTCAGTGCCTTGAAGGCTACAGCAGGATATTAGGAGAAGTCACACCAGGATAGCTCATGCTTTCAATTTTTTTGCCATTTCAGAAGGAACAGTCTCTCTACTGACCCCTTACAATAATTGTAATAAAAGAAAACTTTTTTTTTTTAAGTAGACATGTTCTTCAGGTATTTTTCTAAAATTAAATGAGTAGATGTGAATGTCTCTTAAGTTTCTTCACTGGTCTTTTAAAGAAATCTTTGAGAATGGCCCATCTGTTAAGAGAACATGCCCATGTGGTTAGGTCCAGTATTATAACCCTATACTTCCCTTAACCACAAAAAGGGCAAGCTTTCAAGTAGCTTCTATGGGCCTTTGGCTAAGAATCCTGCATCCTTACTGGCAGCTACTCCAAGATACTTGGAATAGAGCTTCCTTTTTCATAGAGACAACCTGGCCTGCCAATTGGTATAGTTGTATGGAAGCCTATAGGCCAGTGGTATCCAAACTTTTTTCAAAGAGGGCCAGATTTGATGAAGTGAAGGGCCGTGGGGCCCGGCCAAAAGGCCAACCAAAGTTGTTAACCTTTTTTTAGGATTGAAGTTGTTGTTGAGCTTTTATGATTTTACCCCAAAGTTCCAAAGCTGTTGAGCTGCTTTTAGGATTGAAGTTGTTGAAGTTTTTTAAAGATTTTACCCCAGGAAATAAACTGCCACAGGGGCCAAATCAAACCGACCGGCGGGCCAGATTAGGCCCCCGAAACGGACTTTGGACATGCCTGCTATAGTCTTTTGTTGCAAACCTCTCCTCTGCAATAGATCCCATCTAGGGTTTTCCTGTGCGCATCCTGTTTATAGTCGTCAGCCTACCAGGGATAGCTCAATTGGCAGAGTGCGAGACTCGGGGTTGTGGGTTTGAGTCCTACATGGGGCAAAAGATTCTTGCATTGCAGGGGGTTGGACTAGGACTAGGTGACCCTAATGGCCCCTTCAAACTCTATGCTATAAATGGCATTTTGCTGCATGAATGATCCATTTTATGCCTTTGCAACCTCAGTACAGTGGTACCTCGGGGTTAAGTACTTAATTCGTTCCAGAGGTCCGTTCTTAACCTGAAACTGTTCTTAACCTAAAGCATCACTTTAGCTAATAGGGCCTCCCGCTGCTGCTGCGCCGCCGGAGCACAATTTCTGTTCTCATCCTGAAGCAAAGTTCTTAACCTGAGGTACTATTTCTGGGTTAGCGGAGTCTGTAACCTGAAGTGTCTGTAACCTGAGGTACCACTGTATTGGGCTAGTAATGCATGTGCCTTGCTTTTGGAAACGTGGTTTGTAGCCTAGGAGTCCGCAACACCTGCTGCTGTGATTACACCATTGCAGAGGGTTCTGGCTACTTCCTTTCTCTTGACCCAGGAGATAAAAGTTCTGATTTTGCCCAACAGTTGCTTTCTCTGTGACAGCAGAAAAAGAGATCCTAGGGCACTGATCCTTATTCAGGTGCAAAGTGAAAGAAATGTGTTTTCTTAAAAGTACCACCTAAACTTGCCATTGAGGTATTGAGCAATTTAGTATTTAAATGTGCTATGTTAAGATGTATGCAGTTTACCCTACATAACATAGCACATTTAAATACTAATTTATTATGGCATAAGCTTGTGGAAGGCAGAACCTACGTCATGAGATGGATTAAAGGGGTCTTGTGTGCTTTGATAAGAGCATCTCCAGGGTTAATACTGCTGTAAACCAAAATTATGGAATTAAAATGCAGGTCAAAGAGGAACTTGGGAAAGTGATGGCTCGTAAGGTAAACGTCCTATGCAGGATAATTTTCCCACATGAAATCCTTATTCTGGTTAAATAAATTCAGGTGGATCTGCCCATAAATTATTACTTAAATTGAAAATGCACCTAAATAGAAATTTGCTATCTTATGTTCTGAGAAAGGCAGAGATTGCATCTAGTACAGTATGGAAAAACTTCTTTTGTGTAACAGTGAGGTTACAAAAACAAATGGCTGCACTTTAGGGAATTAAGGATGGCATTAGTGGGTTAAAATTCTAAACAGAAGTTAGCTGAAATGGTTTCAGTACTGAAGTGTGACCATGAGTGGATCCATGTACAGAAGAGCACACGTGTCAGAAAGAATGCTAAGGAAGCCTGATTTTTTCCCCTCGAGAATAAATTGTACAAATAAAGAGCTATGCAAATTTCCTCATTTTAGAACTGCAGATGTCTCCATTTACCAGCATGATTTTGCACCCAAGACTCTGCAAGGAGCAATAGCAGGAAAGGTGAAAACATAAGTAAGAGGGAGCCTTATGTTGGGGAAGAAGTAACGGGCCTAACCTACAATGAGTGGGGAACTGGTGACCCAGAGACTGGATGCAACCCCATGGGGCCTTGTCCTCATGTCATTTAGGTTTGACAGCAGCTTTCTATTGATCCCCACACCACACCACCCCCAGTAGCATACGTTCAAGCCTAATTCCAGCAAAGCGTGTGGGTGTGTCGCTGCTGAGCATCCAAAAGCACTTTGCAATGCATTTTGTAAAATAAAAGCTAGAGTTTGGTGCTTTAGTTCACAGCTGGTTAAGAACGTAAGCTTTCTTAACATAAAACTTCCTTCTCTACTTGCTTCATACCTGCAAAACAGGAATAACTAAAAAGAAACCCTTTTTGGCAGGGTAAGGAACCTGCAGCCTGCTAGATGTTACTGAATTTAGCACCCATCATCCCCGACGGTTGAATCTGTCTTGACTGATGGGATCAGAAGCCCAACATCTGCAGGGCCACTGGTTCCACATGCCCAGTATAGAGATGCATGCATTCTCCAGAACTGGATCCTTCCCGTTGGTGGTGGAATAGCTGGACTTCATCTCTAGTTAAAAGGACTGGGCAGCCAAGTAATAGGCAAGACCTCTGTGCAAGAGTAGACTGGTGGGTTGGATTGGTTAATAGCCATACCTGCTATGGAGGAAGATACAGCAACCTAAAGGCAACGAGAGGGGACTTAGGTGTGATAAAAAATTAAGTGCATTTTAATGTTCCTTAACATTAAAACGGGTGGCGCTGTGGGTTAAACCACTGAACCTAGGACTTGCCGATCAGAAGGTCGGCAGTTCGAATCCCCACGACGGTGTGAGCTCCCGTTGCTTGTTCCCTGCTCCTGCCAACCTAGCAGTTCGAAAGCACGTCAAAGTGCAAGTAGATAAATAGGTACCGCTCCGGTGGGAAGGTAAATGGCGTTTCCGTGCGCTGCTCTGGTTCGCCAGAAGCGGCTTAGTCCTGCTGGCCACATGACCCAGAAGCTGTACTCCGGCTCCCTCGGCCAATAAAGCGAGATGAGTGCCACAACCCCAGAGTCTGCCACGTCTGGACCGAATGGTCAGGGGTCCCTTTACCTTTACTAATGTTCCTTAACCTTCCTTGCTCAAAGGTTCCATAGTATTTTGATACCCAGACAGCGAAAGTAGGATAAACACCCAATGTGCCCATTTTGAGCTACACTAGAGCCTTACTTGGTGGGTCCAGAGTTCAATTTGTTGCCTCTCCAGACATTTAGGACTATAACTTTGATCTGGTGCCGCACTGGCAACCCAGGATGAAAAACTGCTAACGATTAAAAACCACCAGGAGTCTTGTGGCACCTTGAAGACTTAATAGGATGCCAAGAGAGTGTCATGGTTCTCTCTCGCTCTTAAGAACTGCTAAGGGTAATGGTGGGAGGGGAAGACTTTTTTTGACAACTGATTCTGCAAACACTACTGACACGCTCAGAACTTTTATTAGGTGGAGTTCAGGCCAATAAAAAAATGAAATTTCTAAAACATTCACTTGTGTTGGTGTAGGACAGGAAGAATGAGGTGTCTTCCCACAAACACCCCTCTGATCTCCCTGCCCCCACCCCCAAAATTGAGGGGCAGAAGGAGACATCACTGGTTCTTGTCAAGCCAGTTCAGGTTTGTGGCATGAAGCCAAAGGCCAAGTTACAAAACACAATTATTTCGCACCTTCTTATTTACAGAACAGCTACACTGCTGTGCCCAATTGGCAGACACAAAGTTCTGGGATGTGATGGAGAGTCCATATGCGCTGGCTGCAAAAACAAGCAGTGGCGGAGACAGCACTGTAGCTTTTGTGTTTTAAAAACTCAATAAAAAGGGGCGATGCGGCAACCTGCAATGGGACTTCTTGTGAATGTTAAATCCTTGTGCTGGCAGGAAGGGGAGGAGGGCGGCTCCTTGTAATCTTCAGAAAGCAAGATGTCAGGTACAAAGCTAGGAGGAGACAAAACCCAGCACCTGGTTCTTCCTGTGAGTCTGACGAACTCGCCTGAGCTAAGACCTGCTTTTGAATCAAGCCTCTGGTTCCAAAATGTAAAAAAGGAAAGAAAATGGCACACTGTGTCCTTTGAAAATGTAAAAAAATCCTCAGAAAAATACAAAAAGTTCAGAGAAAGGGTGAGTGTCGTGTCCAAGCTACCTCTAAGGAAGGAAATAAACAGGCTTCAAAAAATGCAGAAACCACCATTGGGCTCTATTACATTTACAAATACATACATAAATATATTACATACAACAGCAAATCATAAAGGAAGCAGGTAAGGAGTCGCGCGCACAAGGAAGGGGGTGTGGATCTGCCCTGCCTGGGCTGAGCGCTTGGTTGCCTTGTCTCAAGCCCACCCCCCACCCCTTCCTAGCGGATTGTCTCCTGGCAGGTGTGGGAGTCCGAGAAGTGGGCGTCTTCCCTCCCTTCTCCTCCTCCTCCTCCTCCTGTGTTGGGTTAATTTGTCCAGTATGGAGACGTTCCATAGGCTGTTTTGGTAGCCTGAGACTTCTGCTGCAGGGCGCTTGGTGGATTGCGTTGACCAGATCCACCCTGGAAAGAGAGAAGGGGAGGGGAAGTTGGGCGGGTTAGAGGGGGCTCTGGGTTTGACCACCTTGTCCCCATCATCCCTCGGGGCTGCACTCCGTGCTGGGCAAACAGGGTTCCGCTCGTGCAACGGGACACCCTCTTTTTCTCTCCCCCACCCCCCAAAAATCAATCTGCTGCAGAGCTACCGTATTTTTCGCTCTATAAGACGCACCAGACCATAAGACGCACCTAGTTTTTGGAGGAGGAAAACAAGAAAAAAAATATTCTGAATCTCAGAAGCCAGAACAGCAAGCGAAAGCAGCGATCCCTCTTGCTGTTCTGGCTTCTAGGATAGCTGTGCAGCCTGCATTCGCTCCATAAGACGCACACACATTTCCCCTTACTTTTTAGGAGGGAAAAGGTGAGTCCTATAGAGCAAAAAAATATGGCATTTCCCCAATCTTGCACTTCTCAGGTGCCTCTCAGGGCGATGTGACTGCATTTCTGCCCCCAGGGCAACTCACCTGCCCGTCCTGCTGAAGGTGGTGGTGCAGCATCTGGGAATGAGGCTGCTGATGGGCAGGCAAGATGTGCAGGAAGGGAGCCGGAGCGTAGCCGGGGGCAGCACCAGGGTTCAGAGGCCCTGCAGAGCCCAGGGCTGACGGCAGGCTGAAGGGGGGCGGAGTGCCGGCATGGAATACCTGCTTGTCAAAAGTCTGCACAAGAAGAAAAAAAGAAAAGGCACTTTGACACACAGAAAGGGAACTCTCTCCGAACCCTTATTACAGAACCAGTATCTGCAACCAGAGATCTAACCAGGTCTAAACCACAGAGCCTAGGGCTTGCCGATCAGAAGGTCGGCGGTTCGAATCCCTGCAATGGGGTGAGCTCCCATTGCTCGGTCCCTGCTCCTGCCAACCTAGCAGTTCAAAAGCACACCAGTGCAAGTAGATAAATAGGTACCACTCCAGCGGGAAGGTAAATGGCGGAAGCTGTACGCTGGCTCCCTCGGCCAGTAAAGCGAGATGAGCGCCGCAACCCCAGAGTCGTCTGTGACTGGACCTAACGGTCAGGGGTACCTTTACCTATCTGCAACCAGAGTTTTGATTTGAAGGCTGTTTGGAACAACCAGGGCTCCACTTCAGAAATGTTCCACTGGCAAGGCTCAGTTTGGGGCAGATACAGCTGGGGAAGGGGGGGGCAATCCCAGGTTCAGGGAGTGAAAAGGCTCCTATGGGGGAAACCAGATCATGTATGCTGCCAGTGGGGAAACAAAAAAAAGGTGCTGCACATTGCCCCCTCCACAATTACCATGTCAATCATTTGATGAGCAGAGAGAGTAATAATGCCTCTTTACCCACCCCCGTTGGAGATTTTTTAAAAAGAGAGTAATTAAATCTCTATACTATATCCTTCATCCTAGAATTAGAGTGCAGTTTTTAATATAAAAATACATAACATAGTAACAAATGAAAACAATACAGTGGTGCCCCATAAGACGAATGCCTCGCAAGACGAAAAACTCGCTAAACGAAAGGGTTTTCCGTTTTTTGAGTCGTTCCGCAAGACGAATTTCCCTATGGGCTTGCTTCGCAAGACGAAACGTCTTGCGAGTTCTTGCGAGTTTGTTTCCTTTTTCTTAAAGCCGCTAATAGCCGTGCTTCGCAAGACGAAAAAACCGCAAGACGAAGAGACTCGCGGAACGGATTAATTTCGTCTTGCGAGGCACCACTGTACCCTCCAAGTATCCAGTTTTTAAAAAGCCTGTTTTTGCCTGGCGGCTAACGATTTGCAATGAAGGCGCCATGGAAAAGGCCCTTTCCCGCGTTGCCACCTTGTGGAGGAGGCGCATGGAAAGATCTGTAGAGATCAGCTGGAGGAAGGAGGCGTGCACAAGCAGACCCAGAAGGCTGGCCAAGGGTGCATGCAGCCCTCAGTCTTAAAAAAGGTTAACCACCTCTGGGCTAGAGCAACATTCAAAGCAATGGCACTTGGTCTGTGGATGGAGGCCTCCCCTTTGATGTCATTTCTGTGCCTGGTGATGGATATTTTTATTTGTCCAATTTAGGCATGTGACTACAGTCACCTTGATCATGGTTTTATCTGTTATGCTGAATTGTACCTCTGTGCTTATTCTGTTTTATTTCTGTAGCATTGTGTATATGTGCAATCATTTCTCTGCACATGGAGCTTGAAAGGGGCCATCAAGAGTTGTCACTATCAGATTCCACATGTGTGGAGCACAGAAACATGGGCAAGGGTGTAACTGTGGGATCAGTGTTTTTGTCTGGGGGTGGGGTGGGCAGATGAGCTGCCCAGACAGAGCCCCAGATGTTTTCAAGAGAGAGAAGTCAGCTCTGCCTCAGCATAGACTCCCACCAAGGTCTCTGTGCAGAAGCACCTAAAGAGAGCCAAAAGATGACCCACCAACAGGGATGTCAAAATGCCAACGGCTGGGAGAGTCAAAAGAAGCAGAACCCCAGGCACAAAAGCGGCTGGACACATGACAGTTCCTCACCTGAGTCTTATTGTAGACTGAACCACTAATATCAGGCACACCTGTGTTACTTGAGGTCACAGAAACACCTGAGGGGGGGGTGGAGGGAAGAAAAAGAGAGAACAATGAGTTATCAAAACTGTCAAAGGCAATGGGATCTCTCAAGGCTCACAGTTGATGTCAGTGGCGGACTCTGGGCTCTCAAGCATCGGGGTGCCCTGTGCAATGCGAAAATCCGCGAACACGCTCTGTTCCAAAGCATAGTTGTGGCATCCCCTGCAGTCGCCGCACTGTTTGTACCGCCCAAAAACTGTCTCTGGTGATATTCACCCTTTGGAGCACTGAGCTCAGTTCTTCCTGCCAAACCCCAGAAGGATCTGCTGCTCTTTCAAGCTGCAATTAAAATATATGTTGACAGACTCATGGAAGGCAGCTGCTAGCTGTGGCAGCAAAATGCAACTTCCAAGACGGGAGGCAAGACTTGTTCCATGAGGAGAGGGGAGGAGAGAATCTGCACATGGACTGAGCCCTCCAAACCACTGGCAAAGGAGGACACAGTTTTGCATAAAGTTTGCATGTGTCCTGTCATGTGTCATGTGCATATTTGTGTCTTCTGCAGGAGGAGAGGAGGGTAAAATAAAATGTCAGTGGCCATGCACGTAATAAAATGTCTCTCAGCAGCCAGGACAGGAGTACACAATGGCCATTCAGCTCCCACGTCCTGCTTGCAGGGGCCGGGTTGTCTTCCTCAACCCTTTGCTCTGGGCCAGGCATGCTGAGGTTTGTTTAATCTCGTAACACTTAGTTGAGAAAAGATAAAAGTTCTCTTCAGCCTGGAAGGAACTGGAAGACTCTCAAAGTCATTCAAAGGGCTTCCCCCAGTGGCCGACTATTGAAATTTCAGTGAGAGGTGAAGCCAAAAGATGCTAGTCTTTCAACAGAGCCGATTAAAAGGTTCTGCAATCCTACCTCCCTCTACAGCTTGACGAACGGTGGCTGCAGATGACACCTGAAGGGGGAGCCTGATGGAACATTAAGTAATGTGCATAAAAATCCCTGCTCTGGGTCTCCTGATGCAACAGAGGGAGAGAAGGCACCTACATGAACGGCTACATTACCTTTTCCTGGTCCACTGCCAGAGGATTTGTTTTGTGCTTGCGCCGACCCAGCGTATCCCCCTTTGCTGTAATCTCCAGCTGCCGTCCCCTGCGTCAGGTCATCATAGCCTGGAGGAAAACACAAGAAGTGGGATGTGTTGATTCCTGGCAGGACCACATCTGTGCCTAAAGTACAATCACATCTTGTGCAGGCATTGCTTTCTGGTGGCTCTGAGATAAGCCAAGCCACAGGTAAAGGTAAAGGGACCCCTGACCATTAGGTCCAGTCGTGGCCGACTCTGGGGTTGCGGCGCTCATCTCGCTTTATTGGCCGAGGGAGCTGGCATACAGCTTCTGGGTCATGTGGCCAGCATGACTAAGCCGCTTCTGGCGAACCAGAGCAGCGCACGGAATCGCCGTTTACCTTCCCGCCGGAGCGGTACCTATTTATCCACTTGCACTTTGACGTGCTTTCGAACTGCTAGGTTGGCAGAAGCAGGGACCAAGCAACGGGAGCTCACCCCGTCGCGGGGATTCGAACCGCTGACCATCTGATCGGCAAGTCCTAGGCTCTGTGGTTTAACCCACAGCGCCACCCGTGTCCCTCAGCCAAGCCTTAATCTGCCTCTAAAGCCCAGGATGCTACCGCTGGCTTTGAATGGAACAGTGGTCTTGGTTTCAAAAGGCTTCCCATGAGCAGAGGTGACCGCCCCACTCACACCACACGTCTCCGCCATCTTTCGATGGCTTGGAACTACAACTCCCATCAGTCCCATCTGGTGTGGCCAACTGTCAGGGAGCATGGGAGTTGAAGTTCAAAATATCTGGAAGATACTGGGTTGCGGGAGGGACTTGGAGACAAGCATTTCTGAGCTGGAAAAATAAAGAAGCCTTCCCTCCAAATGCCTAAATAAGCAACTCTGGTTCCACAGAAGCTTCCAGCCTCCCTTCACCCCACCCTACGCTTTCAAGAGCAGCAGGGCATCACAACAAACTCTTACAGGGCTCCTGCCCACCAACTTCACTGACTTTTTATAGACGTCTCCAAAGTCCTGCATCCCAGAGGGGGGTGGGAGCAGCAGCATCTCATTCCAGGGGGGTCCTCTCCCCATAACTAAGTGAAGCAGCATTAGAAAGAGACAGCAAGTCCAGTTGCTGTTTTGGGCCTGCTCTGCACATTCCAGAGAACTGACAGCCTATGCTCCCCTGTTACCTGCTCCGTAGCTGTGCTGACCATAGCCGGTCGCCTGCTGGAAGGGTGTCGTGGCCGTGTTCAAGCTGACACTATGCTGCTTGGCCGACGCTGGCGGGACCTGGAAGAAGGCATATAAAGGAGTCAAGTGGCGGCAGCTGAAAGCCTTGACTGCCACCTGGTGGGCATGTCAAAGAGGCACCTCTATTTTCAAGGGGCTGTGCCACTTGGCTAAGGAACGGAGAGCGGGAGAACTCACACCAGGCAGGAAAGCAAGAGAACACACGGGAGGAGACCAAGTGCCCAGCCGGCAACTCCAAACTACAGTGGATCCTCAGGTTACGCACCTCTCTGGATACGCAATCTTCGGATTGGGAAAGTGGCAAACCCAGAAGTATTTTTCCAGATTTCATCGCATGCACAGAAGTGCTCTTCACACTGTGTGCAAGCACAGAAGCGCTCTATCGCACTGCGAGTGTGCGCAGAAGTGGCACCTCTGGTTACGTATTTTTCAGGATGTGCACAGACCCCCGGAATGAATTAAACTGTATACCTAAAGTGCAGTGAGCTAAGGAGCAGCACAGGCAAGAGCTGTTCAACTGTGGAACAGTCTCCCTTGGGAGGTGGTGGACTCCTTCCCTAGGGGTTTGATGGCCATCTGTCATGGATGCTTTAGCTGAGATCCTTGCATTGCAGCGGGTTGGACTTTCTAACGCTACAACTCAATGATTCTAAGAAGTATCACCAACGTCCGTTTGATCTGATCTCTGTGCTGACATCCTTTGCTAACCAGTTTTGCAAAAGGGAAAGAACACACGAGGTGGGTGCACTAATCTGTCTGGATCTGACTCGGAAATATATTTATCCTGATAAATGGTGTGAACCGTTATCATGGTGGGAGCATGGAGCTTGATGTCTCCCCACCCAAACCCTAAGAATTAAAATCAAGAGCTTGTTGGAGATTCTGCAAGATCCACCTTTTTTTCCTCCTGGACCCAGTAACATCCAGCAAAAGTTATTATTGCCACCTTCTGTTCTGCCTTTCTGCGTGAACAAACGGGCGTAGCATTTTATGCACCTGGGTCGATGTGTTTTCTTAACCTGTGTCCTGACAAATATAAGGTACCTAATATGGAGCGCACAAAATCCATAAAATTAAAGGGTCTGTGCAAGAGCTATCTCTCCTGAACTGGTGCTTTATTTTTCTGTAGCAGCAAAACTCAGTTCTTTCCTGAGTCCGTAATTCATTTGCTTATTTCCAGTCTAGTGGTTCCCAATCTCCCACCCACCCAAGGAACACTTAACGATTTTCCTGCCTCTTTAGGAACTGCTAAATATGCTCTGCTAAATGCATTATGATTTTTATTGCTTCTTTCGTTTCTTATATTGCATTTTATCATATTACAATTTGAATTCCATTAAATTCTAGAGAATTCAAACTTCAAGTGTTCTTCGCAGGCATTTCAGGGCCTTCCCACTCGCTTCTAGCTCATTCTAGACCTCCTCAGGCATGCTCATCCAGCACTTCCTGAGTTCTGTTCTCTACAAAAACCACCCTGTGACATACTGTCCCATCCCCCGACATTCTCGTCTTCAAATGGCAGGCTCTGGAGACGCACCATGAATTACAGCTTCTCACACCAGTGGCATCAACACCATTTCAATTGCTGCTGCTGTTAAAAAATTGGGGGGCTTTTTGGGGAGGGGAGGTGGAAAGAAGGCATACAGTGGGGGGGGGAACCCCCAAAATATCCTAAAGTGAATTTCATGCTTCAGTCTGAGGTGCGAGGCAATTCCCAGGCTTGAAAAAGCTGACCAACTGCCCCACTTTTCTGGCTGAGATATATATATGCTTGGGTTCTCACAGCACAGATGGCAATGCCTTTTTGCAAGCCATGCCAGGTCACCTCTCTTGGCAGGGACATTCCCCCACAAATGCAGGCAATCTAGGCAAACAGGAATCATAGGATCACAGAATCATAGAGTTGGAAGGGACCCTGAGGGTCATTTGGTTCAACCCTCTGCAATGCAGGAATGAGACAGCAGCAAATCCCTTGGCCAAAGGTGACCACAGAACGAGGAGCCCCAGGAGACCACAGGACTTCTTTGACCAGGGGACCATGTGAATCCTTGCATGCCAAACACGAAGCCATCCCATCCTCAGAGCTTTCCTGGGAGAAAACTTTACAGGGTGAACTGTCACACAGCCCAACATGGTGCCTCTCAAATCACACTGCCACAGAGGGTGTGGTTTTGTACACCCACAACCCACACGCTCTGACGAAATCCCTCTTTGCTCTGCAAAGTCTGTTCACCCACCTTGTGGAATCCCCAAGGCACCATTTCAGAGGAATCCAAGCCAAAGCTGAGGCGCAACCCCTTCCGACCCCCCCCCCCGTGACTTACAAACATCGTGGGCCCATACTGGAATGCGCTGGGGACTCCTGGCACGCCGGCATAATAGGGCAACCCAGTGTAGCTGTACCCGGGGGGCAGCGCGGGGTTGAGGAAGGGCTGCTGAGCTGTGTGGTGAGTCTGTGCCTGGTTCTGCTGAGCCTGGGCGAGAGTGGTGGCTGGGGCAGGCGAGGCAGCATCTCCCCGACCAAATTTTGTTACATCACCTGGGAAGAAAAAGAAAAAGCCCATTAGGAGATCAGGTGGCTATCTAAACTCAAGGATCTAGGCAGACCTAGAGGCCACCAGAGGACCTTACAGAGGGGTGAAGCCCAAATCTTTCCGCTTTCATAAATTTAGCAATACTGAATTGCATTTGTAGAACAGGTGAGTTTTGTTAAGTGTACGCACCTTATACTCAACCCTCAATTCATCTTAGTGCTGCAGCCAAGCAGGATCAAGCCCAGAGATCTACACCCTCCCACCAGATGTCAAAGAGAACAACAACTACCAGGCTTTTAGAAGACATCTGAAGGCAGCCCTGTTTAGGGAAGCTTTTAATGTTTGATGTATTTTAATATTCTTTTGGAAGCCGCCCAGAGTGGCTGGGGAAGCCCAGCCAGATGGGCGGGGTATAAATAATAAATTATTATTATTATTATTATTATTATTATTATTATTATTATTATTATTCCTAACGCTGGCCAGAAAGATACCGTGAATCTGCCCTGAGATCTTTTGATGAAGGGTGGTATATACGCTTAATTAATTAATTAATTAATGCTTCCACCAAGCTCACAAGCATGTCCCTCCCCACCCCCGTGAAAGTAAACGTCCATGTTAAGTCATAGGTCTGGCAGCATGAATTCTGCAGGTGCATACATACTTTTATTCCTAAAAGATGGAACCAGCAAACCTGGCAGCCACAATGAGCAAAGCATCACCTTCTTCACTTGGCACAGGCAACGTTTTGGGATCCAGACTCACCTGAGTAAGGGTTGTTAGCAAGGCTCCCCTCTCTGCCCGTTAAGGTTGCCGGAGCAGGGAATGTAATTCCGTAGTAATCCTGAAGAGAAACCAACATCAGCACTGTTTAAGATTCATAGTGAAACCAGCTAGGATCTCTCTGCACAGCCTTTTGTTCAGTGTTACTAGCCAGAGCACTTTGCAAGGAAAATAAACAAGTGTCCTTAACGTGCATCTTGCCCCACATGGGGCTACTCCTAAGCAGACATTTCTTTGAACACGGCCAAAGTGCCTTTTCCACCAAGGCACAAACAATGCACCAATCAAGGGTTAAGAAACAAGAACAGCAGCACACTTATTGGAAAGATTCATAGAAGTCTTGTGGGCTTCTCCAGGGTCCAGAGAAAATGTAATATACATACTATGCTATACATTATACAAAATGATCTATATCTATCTATACACACAGAGAGAGATAAATATGTGTATGCATAATAATGTACAGGGTTGCTTTTCTGTGAATAATTAGCATATAGAAATCATCAGCAACAGCAGCAAAAAAGAAAATATAAATATGCTGTTCCAGTCCTTACACTGTTTTCAGCAAGGTATGTAGATATTTTCCTGTGTCTTATTACATCAGTGCATAACGAAAATGCTCCACTTTTCAATAAATAATTAGATTCCTTGCCTTCTCTCACTTTCACAATATTGGTTAATTTTCTCACAGGCACCAGCTCCCCCAGACAGTTATCATTCATCCTTCTAACATGGGAATTGTCATCCCCCCCCCCGAATTTTAGCACATTGCCACATGGGCACCGGTATACTTTTCATTTGCTACTTCTTGTTTCTCTCCTTTTATAATTCATCTTTCAAGTTCTGTGACTTCTCTTAAAGGGTTATGATTCCTAGACAGTTAGTGATATGTCCTACCCAAAAATATTGCAAGAAGATGAACTCAATTTTATTTTATTTTTTAATCCCCATGCCTCTGTCTCTCTGGCTGCAGCAGCAAAACACTTTGAGGAGCGACACATCTCAACTCAGCCTGCACCTTCTGTGCCCATATTGGGAGCAGCCCTGCCTGTTTTTTGGTTCCGGCCAATATTACTTTCGATATCTCAGCTGGATTTCCCCTTGCCGTTTTGCGGTTTCCAAAACAGAGAAGGATGGCACGCAGCCAAGGAAGTAAGGATGGGGACACAGCTTCAACCCACAGCAATTCAGAACGGCTTCATAATTGTTTGCATAAAGCTCCTTTAACACACACTTTGACTGCGGGGGGGGGGGAGATTTCAGAAGACTGGATGTAAACCGAAAGAACCCGGCATTAGCACTTTTCTACAAGTCACAAGACGACTTCGGCATATATTTAACAATTAGAACATTCCTTTCTGGCTCATCTAAATGTGCCACTTTCGTAGTTTTACCACGGTTGGGTTTTTCGGTTTCTTGGCAGATCACCCCCAACACAATGCAACAGGTAACGGAAGTCAACAAAAACTCTTTTTAAAAAAATGTCGCTGGTGCAAAAAGTCACCCAGATGTCTGCACTGTGTGTGTTTAAATCCTACATTTTGATACTGAAACGATGCAATCATGTTTCAGGGGAATTTTTTTTTTTAAGGGGAAGAACCCATGAGCTCTCCAAACTGAAACTGACAATTGCAATATGCTCTCAGGAGCGGCTACAAAAATGCCCGCGAGACTAACCCTCCCTACCCAAAATTTCGATTTCTGGTTCCTCTTCTGCACCTGAATGGGCTGCCCTCACCACCCCTTTCTTCTCGATTTGGGGTTCACAGCCTCTTGTAACTTCCAGAGCAGGGTAGCTGGGCTTTGACCTATTTGCCCTGAGCCCTTGAGAACATGTAAACATGCTCAATTACTCATGAGATGACCAAGGGCTGGGATACTGCCTTGGTCTCCAGCTTCTTCCCTTTCAGGCTTGCTAGCGACCCTGGCTTTATTCACTGCCCATACAACAGGTAAGATACCTGGCGTACGCATTTAAGAAAGCCGCCCCAAATATCTGAGCGTCACCATCACCAATGTCACCACAGAGTTGGAAGGGACCCCGAGAGTCATCTAGTCCAACCCCTGCAATGCAGGAATCTTTAACCCAGAGTGGGATTCGAACCCATTACCCTGAGATTAAGCACCGAAGGCTCTGAATACATGGGACACTTAGTCGCCTTTGTGTCTCTCTCTGTTTGCAGTTAGATCAGGTGTCAGCAAACTTTTTCAGCAGGGGGCCGGTCCACTGTCCCTCAGACCTTGTGGGGGGCCGGACTATATTTTGAAAAAACAAATGAACCAATTCTTATGTCCCACAGAGATGCATTTTAAATAAAAGGACACATTCTACTTATGTAAAAACATGCTGATTCCTGGACCGTCTGCGAGCTGGATTTAGAAGGTGATTGGGCCAGATCCGGCCCCCGGGTCTTAGTTTGCCTACTCATGAGTTAGATGGATTCATCCGTGGGGAAGTCTGTGTTTGTGTATGTCCAGCACACATGTAGGATGCTGCATTAAGGAAGGGGTGGAGTAGACGATCTTTGGCAGCCCCCTCCTCCCTAATGCTGCATATTAACAAAATACGGCCAGGCATGGCAAGTGGGATTCAACCTTCATGGGCAGCGGAGGAAGGCAGGGGTAGAAGGCTGTGCAAAGGCGCAATGCAAAACAGGGGGAAGCAGCGGCAAATGGGCCGCTGGCCAGGAGGGCGCAGCAGCCAGATGGACACAATACATGTGGCTTTTATGCACAAGGTCTCAGGCTGATCTCCTGGCGCCTCTGCTTAAAAGGAACAGTATAGTAATAACCTTGGAGAGCCGCTAACCAGTCAAGAATGGTAAGCAATGGTGAGGGGGAAGTTGCCAAAGCAGAGGCCCAACTCTGAAGAGGCGGCATCAAAATGTTCAGTGACTGGTGGATGCAAAGACCAAGGAACAAGGTTTTGTGATATCTACTAGCTAAAGGACTGGCAGGCTTGAGAGGTGAGGGCAGGAGAGTTCAAATTCTTTCTCCTCCTTGCCACATTCCTGCTTCTCTCCCCCCCTTCCCAGCTCCCACTAAGCCATAAATTTCAGGGGCTACTACCTGCCTTCCCCCTTCCTTCCCACTTCCACTAGGACCCAAAAAACCCACCCTGCTTCCAAGCTACTCCCACAGAGGCACCAACGCTCCTTTGTCCAGTCCAGTGGTTCCTAAAGTGGGGGTCAGTGGGAGCACCTGGGGGTGCTAAGAGCCGAGGGGGAGCGGGAGCGGGCAGGAACTGGAGGTTGAAATAACTATCAAGACTTAGAAAAGCTGATGACCACCGAATCAAGTTCATCCATGTTGCTGAATTAATTAAATTATTGAGCTTTACTTGGAAAAATGTGCCATTTATTGTTAATGCTTTGAATTTCATTGTGTTATTATCTTAGTGGGCCATGCAATCCGCTCTTCTGACTCATGCTTTTTAATTGGGTAGGAGGTCTTATCCTTGCCTCAGAATTTTACTCATTTCCCTCTCCCACGCTGTGAACCAACTGCTCTCTCCCTCCCCACAAACTAACTACTCCCAAAACATTTTCCTTTTCTTCCCGGACAATTTTATAACCACCTTCAAACCACATCTGATATATAGGCTTAGAAGCCTCACCTCCACCCCACAAAACAAACAAACCAACAAACCACTGAAATCCCATCCAGAATTTGCAGCTTTCCCCTCTCTTCCTAATTTATTTGTACACTCAGGGTCTCTCTCTCCCCCTTTCTTCCTCTGGTTCAGCCAAGATTCTTCCCCTGCCCTCGCCTCCCCTTTTCCTTACTCAGTTCCACCGCATTGTACCTGCCTCACATCTTTTCTCCATGCCTTTTGAAGCTGTTAAGACTGAACGACTAGCTCCAACCCTCCAATGCTTGCATTACATTAATGCACGCTGTTCATAAGATCTTTTTATTAAATGCATTGCTTGAATTGAGGTGGCACTCCTTCCTTAACTCCACACAACCTTTAGTGATTATTTCCAGACATGCTGCCGAGGTCTCAATGTCACAGAAAGAGGGCAATGATATGCTGGGGTTGAAGACTTGCATGCAAAAAAGCATGCTTTTATTTATTGTATTTGATTTTTATCCTGCCTTTACGCCTAAAGATGTGCAGGGTGGCAAACCAGAAAACAATAAAAAGGAAGGGTTTTTAAAACATTTAAAAAAATAAGTCAGTATGCCTTGTAAACCAGTAGTCTTCATATTTTGTGCACACCAAATTTCAGCTTTATAGGTGATTTTGGGAGACGCCTACCTAATGAGGGTCATGAGACCCCCATTTTCAACAAGAGGTTCACAAATCAGATTTTCTTTCCAGCGGGTAGGGTGGCCTGGGATGGCATACATGCCAGCCTCCATGGCTCTGAGGAGTGTATTTGGTATACAAATTAGGCAAAAAAATAGCCCTGTGGTCTTCCTGAAATTTGAGGAGTGGGGAGGAGGAAATCATGTAAACTATATCCTGGGTTACCAGAGAAGAAGAAAAAACTGCCTTAAGGACCCACCACAGGCCAGCTCCTTAGATTCAGTTGCATGGCTGAACAGGCAAGTGGAAAGTGAAAATGAAACCCGGAAAACCCAAATGATGAAAGGAAAGCTGTCCTGCAGGATAAATAGAAGATGCAGGAGAATCAGCACATAGTCAAAGATGTATCGCAAGTGGACAAGTTACGTGAGCCCCAGCAGAAACCGCCTGAGAACCACCATGAAAATCGAAACGCGTGTGCATGCGGGGCTCGTTTGCCTGGTGCTCCTGTCTTCTGTTCAAGTCTCAGCGCTGGACTGCAACTTTCTGAAACACCGGCAAAAAGTATTTAATCTGCAGAGCCTGGAGCTGTGGCGAGAGATGAGCACAACGTTCTCTCCAGAGTGCCTGAAGAAACCGACCACGTTCAACTTTCCTACAAAGATCCTGGAAATACGCGAGTCGCAACCTGCCACGGAAGCAATCTATGAAATTCTCCGTGGGTTCTTTCACATCTTGAGCAATGATTCACTGAAGACTGTCTGGAAGGCCACACACAGAGAGAGGTGGGTTTCTGCTCTCCATGATGCAGGAGTGGGTGGTAAGGGTTGGGATAGGATGGGGCAGCAGAAAGAGAGATTTGTGTCTGCTCCCTCTCTTCAAACTCTGCCACGCTTTTATTGCAGGTCTCTCCAGATGCTGCATGCGCACACCAAAGTCCTCAAGAGTTGCCTCGGAGGGGAAAAAATCTACACCCGGGAAGTTAGAGGAACGGAGAAACAAGCTGGAGCTGAAGAAATATTTTCGAAGGATCAGAACTTTTCTCAGAGTGAACGGAGGCAGCACCTGCTGCTGGGAGTGCCTGCAACACGAGGTCCAAGCAGGACTCATGCACGTTGACATACTGACAAAGAGAATGAGGAGGTAGCAAACCTCTGCAACCGTCACTCGAGGAACCGTCGGAGCGGAGAAATGGCAAACTGACAGCGAATATTTGTGAAACATTCGCAGAGACAAATTAAGGAAGCTACAAGCCACCTCACTGAAATTGCCAAAGAAACGGGAAGAGCTAAAGGGGCTTTATTATATTGAATGTACAGACTTTGTATAGGTGTTTTATTTTTTTATGAAGCTTGATATGTGTTATTTATTTATTTATTTATTTGATGTGATGCAGACTTATGTATTTTTTGTTAATTTTATATTAAAACAATTTTAAGTATTTCATTGTTTATTTATTGCATCTTTCTTCACTTTCTAGAAAAAAAGTATTGAAGTGACTTACAAATGTATAAAACAAAGAGCTTCTGAATCCCTTAAAACTACTTAGACCAAAACACAGCAAAGATGTCTTTATTTATAAGGTAGGTTAGTTAGTTAGTTAGTTAGTTAGTTAGTGAGTTAGTTATTAAAGTCTGCTATACGGTGGTACCTTGGTTCTCAAACTTAATCCGTTTTGGAAGTCCGTTCCAAAACCAAAGTGTTCCAAAACCAAGGCACGCTTTCCCATAGAAAGTAATGTAAAATGGATTAATTCGTTCCAGACTTTTAAAAACAACCCCTGAAACAGTGATTTAACATGAATTTTACTATCTAACGAGACCATTGATCCATAAAATGAAAGCAATAAACAATGTACTGCAGTCACACAATCAATCAACCAGTAGTTGAACTGGGTTCCACACAGTCACACACAAAAAAGAGCCACAAAAACGCAAAATAAATAGCAAAAACAGACAGACCTCAGTGTAATACTCAAAACGGAAACGTTAACACTCAAAACAGAGCACGTTCAGCTACCAAACCAGAACACTTACTTCCAGGTTTGCAGTGTTTGGGTTCTAAGTTGTTTGAGTACCAAGGCGTTTGAGAACCAAGGTACCACTGTATAGTGCTCCAGGCAGGTTTCTACACAAGTTTTAGATCAGATGGTCCTTTTTAAAATAAGGACAGAAAATGATAGGGCAAAAACCTGCAAATAATACAACCGCCATAAAACACTAACAAAACCGACAGCCTCAAACACATGAACTGACACATTACAGAACCTGGCATTTTATTTGCAAATCGAAATGTCTTCACCTGCTGGAAGACAAATATGGGGTGGGTTATACAAGCAGCCTCTCCAGTCTAACCACAATGAAGGAAGGAAGGAAGGAGGCTTCTCTCAATGATTTGAGTGAAGCAGAAGGCACTTTGGGAGAAGGGGCTCTAGGAAGTGTGTAGGATCCGAGGTGCTTTCACTGGTTCCTTGGATTGTGTCCAGAAACTCACAGGCAGTCAATGCACTTGGGCAAGTCTCTCTTTCACAAACCAGCAAGCAAAATTAACACTATGAATTCACAGAAGTTTCCAAGCCATCTTCACGGGTAGACCCGGTTAAGGATGCTACAATACTGTAATGTAACTAGGCAGGTAACAAGAATACAGTGGTACCTCGGGATGCGAACAGGATCTGTTCCAGAGCCCCGTTCGCATCCTGAATAGAACGTAAGACGTGACTGCGCGTGTCACGTTTCGCCACTTCCGCGCATGTGCGTGATGTCATTTTGACCGTCTGCGCATGCGCAAGCGGCGAAACCCAGAAGTAACGCGCTGGCCACATGACCCGGAAGTTGTACGCCGGCTCCCTCGGCCAATAAAGTGATGAGCGCCGCAACCCCAGAGTCGGTCACAACTGGACCTAATGGTCAGGGGTACCTTTAACTTTTATGACTGTAGTAACAAGGTCCTGATTGCAGCTTTTCTTTCCAACCAAAGCTAGTAAACGACACTCCCAGGTTCTTCCACCAACTGTGAATTAAATAGCACAAGACTGCCCAGGAGCGCCCCTAAACTTCGAACATCATTTTGAGGGCGAGGGTGATAAAGAGGAGAACCTTGTACAGAATATCACCCCCAACCCAAATTTCCCAGACCCGTTGGCCATCAACCACTTTGTCCTGGCAGGATTCATTTTACTGATCCTCAGGAAGCCCATAAGAACATTCAAGCATTCATTCAAAAGAAACCAACTGCTACTCCTGGATCAGATGCAAATACTAAACAGAGTTGGGCATGTGTTTGCTGGCGACAAAATCAATTTGGCTGGCTGCACCTTCTGGCTACTCAAAGATATTAAACAGTGTGAGCACAAGATAGAACTTTGTGAACCAATATTTCAGAGAATGGCAGCAGCCAACCAATACCACCCTGTGAAGGACTGTTGAAGAATGCGCCCTCAACTCCAGGAAAGAAAATCTATCCATCTGTCGAGGTCAGAAGGGATCGATGATCACTTACGACAAAATCCCCACCAGGAGTGACCCTCTCCCCCATCAATCTCAAGACCAATACTGCCCCACCAAGGCTACTCCATTCTTTTTCCAAACCTTGGCGTGAACCTCAGGCGATGCAGTTCTAGAACAGCGGTTCTCCCCCCCAAATTCGGCCCACCCAGCCTCTAAAAAGCATGGTTCAGAACAGCAGTTTCCATGACCCACTAAGGAAGATAACAGCCCAATAAAATTCAAAGCAGCAGCAACTCATTGCACATTTACTCGAAATTCAATTAAAACTCTCATTAATTCAAGAAAATTGATGAACTTGATCTGGTGATAGCAGCTTTTCAAAGTCTGATAGTCATTTACACCTCCAGCACCCCATCTAAGCGCCACCATTGCGAGTTGCTTAACTCCTACCCAGTGCAGAGACAAGAGGCTTCTTCAAAACAGGGAGCATCACGGTCTCTTCCCAGGAGGCTGGTCATGCCACAAGATACTATATAACAGCCTTTCTCAACCTGTGGGTCCCCAGATGTTGTTGGACTACAACTCCCATCACCCCTAGCTAGCAAGGCCAGAGCTCAGGGATGATGGGAGTTGTAGTCCAACAACATCTGGGGACCCACAGGTTGAGAACCGCTGCTATATAATGTTGCAGCATGAGTATGTCAACAAAATCCCGTCCTGGATTAACCCTCCTTTCCCCACAACACTTAGCAGGTTTCTCCAACCCAGTCCCTCCAGATATTTGGTCTACAACTCCCATCAGCCCCAGCCAGCATGGGCAATGGTCAGGGACAATGGCAGATTTAGTCCAAAATCTCCGGAGGGCAGCAGGTTGTTGAAGGCTGCTGTAGGGCATAATGGAATCCAACAGGATACACAGGTCTCCAAAAGCAGGCGCATCACAGAGGGGCAGTTTGTTTAAAACAAACAAAGAAACAGAGGCAGGCAGTTGCAGAGCAAATAAACACATCACAGCAAGACAGAATACACCTCAGAGCCCATGAACATTTCACTACTCTATGACCAGTGTAAACCTCAAAAAAACGAAACCAGCTCAGTTACAGCTTGAAAAAACCAACAACACAGGAAATTCTACTTACCACAGGCAGCCTGGACTGCAGCATTTGGAGATCATCATAACCATAAATCTGCTTGAAGACAGAGAGGAGGAGGAGGAGGAGGGAGAAAATACAGAAAGAAGTTGTAAGGCAGCACTCCCAAGGAACCACTTCGATTGGCAAATTCTCAATCCAGGCTCATAAAGCAAGCAGCATTTTAAAACCACCAGGTTTTTGTTATGTCAAATGTCATGCTGGCTGAACAGCATCCTTTGGAGGAACTGCTGCACTTTTTGAAGGATAAAGTTTGCTTATTACACTACCCTGTGAAGCACAGTAGCCTGGTGCTTTTGGCTAAATGAAAATGCAATCCGTAGTATTCAGCAGAAGCAGCATCACATTCTCAAGTGCCAAGCATTTATAGAGCTCATCCACACAGTCTTCTTATAACGCATACAACAGCCCAGCAAGGTAGGTCAGCATGGTTGTATTTCTGTTGTAGATTGGGGGAAGGGGTTCTCAGGCTAAGAGAATATTGCTTTGAAATGGGGAATGTGGAGTCCATCAACATCTAGAGAACTGCAACTCCCATCAGCTCCAGCCAGCATGGGCAATGGTCAGGAATGTGGTTTTTTCCTGTGTGTGTATGTGTGTGTGTGGTGTTAGTCCAGTAGCATCAGACTGGTTTTCTAGCCTTGTCTTAAGGCCCTCTTAAGCTTTGCTGCAGTTAACTCTATAAGGGACAAAAAAATGCAAGTACAATGGTACTTCGGGTTACATACGCTTCAGGATACAGACTCCACTAACCCAGAAATAGTGCTTCAGGTTAAGAACTTTGCTTCAGGATGAGAACACAAATCGCGCTCTGGCAGCGTGGCGGCAGCAGGAGGCCCATTAGCTAAAGTGGTGCTTCAGGTTAAGAACAGTTTCAGGTTAAGTACGGACCTCTGGAACGAATTAAGTACTTAACCTGAGGTACCACTGTACAGCAGGATCAGACAATGCATTCTGAATAAACATACAATTTCCCTCACTTTCACGACCCGCCCCCCCAAATCAATTCCTGTATTGAATTTTTAACTTGTGGCTGTCAAAAGAAAGAGCGAGCCTACAGTGAAACCAAGACTTCCACCTTCCTCCCAACATCAGTTCTAAGGCTATGGCTTGAAAGCAAAGCTTTGTACTTCTAAGATGCTTGTGAATGACTTTGTGAGACAACTGTCAGGGGACAATTGACAGTAAGAGCTGTTTCAACAGTGGAGCGGACTCATAGTGTTGTAGATTTGGAAGGGGCCTCAAGGATCATGTAGTCCAACTAAAGCATCCCTGACCACCCTTTCCTTGGAGGCTTTTAAGCAGAGGTTGGATAGCCCTCTGTCATGGATGCTTTAGCTGAGATTCCTGCATTGCAGAGGATGGGGCTCAATGAACCCCAGTATCCCTTCCAACTCTTGATTCTATGAAACAAAAAGTCAGTTCAGAAACTGTTGCTATACTCCAGATTAGATGTTAAGTCAATTGAAATTCAGAGGTCAGAGGAATAAGGGCTCTTGCTGGCTGGGCCCGGCAGGAGTTGCAATCCAAAACATCTGGAAGTCCCCAGGCTGGCAAAATTGGTTATCTTTCAGGTTCAGGGTGGGCCCAGCTGTGCATGCAACCCAAGCAGTACAACTCTCATTATCATCTTTAGAAGTGAGCCACAGAACAAGTGTCGGTGGTCTACAGACAGCCCATTCTACACAACCTGGCTGGGACAGAGAGACAGACAGACAGACAGACAGAGACAGACAGACACACACACACACACACTCTGCCCCAGACGCCTGCAACATGGAGGTGGAAGCCAAGTTCATTTGCGGGAGGCACAAGGAAACCGCTTACTGGGTAGGCTGGCAGAAGTCCTCCAGGTCCAACAATATACTGGTTATGTAACAAGGGTGGTACACCTTGGGGCAGGTTGGGGGGTGCTTTGCCTGCAGAACCAAAAGACATGTTTTTATATATAATATATAAAACAAAAATACCAACAAAAAAGGAAGAAAAAGAAAGAGAGAGAGACAAGTTTCGGGGTCTGAAATATGCTCTTTGGGCTCCTTCAGACGACGTGTTTACTCAGCATGCATCCTGATTTGCTTACATGGAGATAACTATATATTCAGTTCTTACTATTCTCATCTGAGGGTGGGGTGGTTATACAGTATGTCAAAACAGCATTCATTCTGCATTCCTCCCAATTTGCTTGCGGGCTGTTTACACGTCTTCCTGTTTATCATTCATCTATCCAACATTTTTCAATGCGTTTCCAAACAATAAGAAGTCCAGGTTGTGTTTGTTTGTTTTTGTGGGGGTTTGTTGTGCTAGGATAGCAGAGCACTTCAATCCACTTTAAATGAGCAAACCTAATGTTCCAGCAGGCGCCCAATCTCTCCTGCAAAATACTGACAGTCTGGAGGCACCCTTTGACAAGCTTCAGTCACCGCTTATCATAGGAATCTGCCAATGGTCCATCTTGCTCAGCTCTGTCTACACTTCAGGCAGCAACTTCTTCAGGGTTCCTTTAGGCTGCTGCCTCCACCTTATTCCCATACCCCTACCCCAGTTCTTCTGCCTCTTCCATCTTCCCACTGATGCCTTCTTCTGGACTGCAGCAGTCTCATCTCCTCATTTCCTCCCCATTCTGTAACCCTTCCCTGGTCCCATGTCCTCAACTTCTTGTCTTTGTCCGGGGAGGTAAACTCTCTGCAACTGGAATTCTAGACCGTGCAGTAGTTTAATTCTGAGACCAGCAGGCACGACAAGAAAAGTTATTAAGAAGCAGTTTTCTTTGCTAGCCAGCTTTTTACACTTCCTTGGTGGGGAGAAACAATAAGCTCTCTTGTCAGTTCCCTGAGCTTGTGATCTAAGCTCCCTCCAGACTAATCATGAGCTGTAATCAAGGTTTGTCCTACGATTTACAACTCAGGTTCTCCAGGAAAGCTAAACCACCAGACTGAGTTTGCACAATACAGTACATTAAGCCAAACCAAAGCTTTGCTCAGTGCAGTGCTGTACTAGAACCACCAGGAACAATGTGGCTGTAATCTCCCCTCTGGGAACCCATATGCTCCCACGAAGCCATGGTTTGGCTGAACATGATGTGCAAAGCAGACCATTGTTTAAACTGGTTAGAGATGCACCCTTAGATGTTCTATGAAACTTAGCTAAGAAATATCAGTTCAATACTACATTGGTAGAGCACAGTCTCCAGTGAGAGCATGCTTATGCTTAAGAAGGGACAACTACTCAGGCAAAAGGATGCTAGAATCTTAAGATAGACTCTCACACCCATTTTCTATTCCTTTCGACATAGTAAAGTCTACCTACATCGATCTTGGTCACAAAACGTCTCCAACTATAGACTGGCTAAACTCTTGCCAGAGTTTGGAACCGCCCAACTGAGAACATTCCAATTTAGAAGGTCTTAATTTTTTTCCCACATTCCATTTCACTTTCCAGCACTTTGAAACTCTGTCCTGAAGGGGTCAGGAGAGCTAACTCTAAGGACAGAAAAAAGGCCTCTTATCGTAGACAGTGTAAGCAGCAGGGCTCAGTCAGAAAAGTGCAGAACTCATAATTTTCTGGAAGTGACACAAGTCCTATCTGGGAAAGTGTTTAATATCAGAGGGTAGCTGCGAGGCAATTCAATATTTCTTAAACTGTTTTATTTAAACAACAAAGTGTTGGTAAATATGATCTGCCAAGTGTTTTAAGTGACAGGGCAGGATGTAAATTTAAGCCAAGCTTCCAACTGTCTGCATCTAAACCAGGGAATGGGAAACCTGTGACGTTCCAGATGTTGTGGGACTACAACCTCCATGAGGCCCAGTCAACAAGGCCAACAGTCAGGGCTGCTGTGAGTTATGGTCCACAACAGTCAGTATAGCATGAGACTCTTAATCCCAGGTCTGTGGGTTTGATCCCCACATTGGATAAAAGATTCCGGCATTGCAGGGGCTTGGGCCAGATGACTGTCGTGGCCCCTTCCAATTCGACAATTCCATGCTTCTAACACCTGGAGGGCCACAGATTTCCCACTGCTAAATAATAAAGATTGACTCAATCAAGCTAACTGCCAGCTCCCTTGATAATTTATTGTGTTTCCCATTCCTTGTGGAAACATTCAACTGAGACTTCTTAGTATGCAAGATCTGACTCCTTAAAGCCCAAGAATTTAAGGGCTATCGGCACAACCCTAGCCAAGCCTGCTTAGAAGTACAGTGGTGCCTCGCAAGACGAAAGGGTTTTCCGTTTTTGAGTCGTTCCGCAAGACGAATTTCCCTATGGGCTTGCTTCGCAAGAAGAAAGCCCATAGGGAAATCTCCGGGGACCTCTTTTAAATGCTGGCGGTGGGGAGCAAAGCCTTTCGCCCCCCTCCGGCCTTCAGAAGAGGTCCAGGAAGGCCGGCGGGGGCCGAAAGGCTTTGCTCCCCACCGCCAGCATTTTAAAAGCGGTCCGGGATAGCAGGGAAGCGCACTGCTTCGCTGCCGCCCGCCAGCATTTTAAGATCGCCCCGGGACAGCGGAGAAGTCTCCGCTGTCCTGGGGGCTTTTAAAATGCTGGCGGTCGGCAGTAAAGCCCTCCTGTCCCCGGAGCTTGCGGGGCGGGACATGGGGAGAAGGGCTTTTCTTCCCACCGCCAGCCTTCAGAACAGCCTTCTGAAGGCTGGCGGTGGGAAGAAAAGCCCTTGTCCCCCCCCAGCCTTCAGAAGAGGTCGGGGGACAGACTGTCCCCGGACCTGGTCTGAAGGCGGTTTCCATAGGAACGCATTGATTTTCAATGCATTCCTGTGGGAAACCGTGCTTCGCAAGACAAAAAACTCGCAAATAGAAAAAACTTGCGGAACGAATTAATTTCGTCTTGCGAGGCACCACTGTAATCCAGAGTGTCTTACTTCCAAGGCCAGGGTGGTTAGGACTGCAGCCTCTACAGCTGTACAGTCAGTCCGCAACTGTCTCCTCTGACTGAAAGCAGCTTTCCAATGTCTTAGAGGATAGGAAGGTCTTTCCCAGCCCTGTCACTCAAGATACTTCAATGGGAAACACCAGGAAAGATGATGAACCTTTGGGAGGCAATGCATGCACCTGAGAAACAAGCTATACCCTCTCTCCCTGTAATACTTAGCACAAGAGACCATTAAGATCCCCTGGGATTGGTGAGGAAGTATTTCCTTGTCTCTTTTGCCAATGAACCCACCCACCGTTCCATTCCTGTTCTATGCACTCACAGGGAACAGAGCCTGCTGGAACACAAATAGAACCTACTTGGCTAGACAAAAAGGCTGGGGTGGAGATCAGGGGAACTTCTGTTAAAAGAATTGTGAAAATCATACCCACAAAAAATTACACATTTCGCTTTCCATGATTAAAATTTTCAGATAATTGGAAATGTTTTTGGCAAGGTTGAAGAACCTGACACTTTTCTGTTTTTCCTTACAACCAGTGGTGGGGGTGGGGAGATATATATATAGACAAGGTAGCAAGTTAAATGCTTGGTAGCGGTTTCCCCCATCAAATATTCCCACGCGTTAAAAAGGCAGGCAACTTTTATTTTACAGGCCACTGTGCAAAGCATGCTGCAAAGGCGAAGTCTTTTGGAAAAGGCATAGAATTTCTCAACACAGTTTTTACGGCTGGACAAGAGGCGCTCAACAGGCAGACAAACGTCCTCTCTCGCTATATCCACACGACCGGTTAATATTGCGAACCTGAAGACACTAAGGGAGCTGCCCGCGTGGTGGGAGCCGGCAGAGAGACACTGGTCACATTCAGGCCAAGGCTGTTGGTAGAGTTGGCCATGCTGGAGACCGAAGAGGTGGTGGCCAAGGTTGAAGCAACGGAAAAGGTGGTGGAAGGCTGGAGCGCAGCAGAAGGCTGGAGCGCAGCGGAGTTCTCAACACTAGTGTGCTGGAAAGGAAAGACAAAGGCACACACAAAGAAAGAGGGTTAAAGAGCAAGCAACGGGGGCTGGCAGGCTGGAAAAAATGCTAAACTCTGTAAGCAAGCAGCATGGGGAGCTGGAGAGGAGGGTCTTGTGCTGCCACCCGAAAATCATTCTTAAAGTTCTATAGTACATTCTCCAGTATATTATTATTATTAACTTACATTTCTATACCACCCTATATCACAGGGCAGTTATCAACATGAAAACATAAAAATACATGCCATAATAACAAAACAAAACAAAACACCCCCAATACACAGTTTAAAAGGCCATGGACTGTTTAATTAGTCACATTAGAAGAGAAATGTTTTTGTGTGGCACCTAAAGATATATAATGAAGGCGCCAGGCAAGCCTCCCTGGGAGAACATTCCACAAATGGGGAGCCACCGCAGAAAAGGCCCCTTCTTGTGTCGCCACCCAGCATTTTGAATTGGGCCTGGAAACTAACTGGTGGCCAGTTGGGCCAGGATTGGCATCATATGCTCAAACCATCTTGCCCCAGTGCACAATCTGGACACTAACTTCTGCACCGGCTGAAGTTTCCAAACCATCTTCAGAAGCAACCCCATGCATAATGTGTTTCAGTAATCCAGAAGATAGACAACTGAAGTTAGGCTGTCCCTGTGCAGAAGGGGGCACAGCTGGGCCACTAGCTGAAGCTGATGGAAGGCACTCCATAACACTGAGGCCACCTGAGCCTTAAGCAACAGCAAAGGACCCAGAAGTACCCCAAGCTATGTACACGCTCCTTCAGAGGGAGCACGCAACCTCCCAACCAGCCAGGGGAACTGCCCACTAACAGTGCCTCAGTCTTTTTCAGTTTACTGGTTCTCATCCAGTCCATAACTGAGGCGAGACAATGGTCCAGCATTTCCACTGCCTCACCTGCAGATGCAAAGGAGAAGTAGAGCTGTGTGTCATCAGCATATTGCTGACAATGTACTCAAAACCTCTGGATAACCCCACTCAGCAGTTTCATGTAGATGTTAAACAGTATGTTTTAACAACAGGGGGATTCTAGGATTTCTCACTTCTTGGTGACCAGCCTACTGTGAAATATGAATCTAAAAGCTATTCAAGCATCTGGGAGTTTTTACTTCAAGCACAAAGCATCAAGATAAAGTTCTGCCAGCTGCCACCAAAATTCTGCCATCATCATTTACAAGATTATAAATTCTCTGTTGTCAGCTGGCACATACAAGTGCATCTTGGATATCTCCCCTACCAACAACATCCACTGCTGCATCACCTTGGCTGCTGCTTCTACCAATTTCAAGTAGCATCCTTCTCCAATGCTGTGCCCTTTGATTATGGTGGAAGCTACACAGCAGGCAAACCTCAATGTCTTGAGGCACAGAGAAGGAAAAAAATTATTCAGAACTATTAGTTCTGGAGGGTAACGAGTGACAAAAAGATTGTGTATAAGGGTAACGATTCCTCACTCCAAGTCAAAAGGAAGACGCCCATTCCATTGCAAGAGAGCCTAATTTTAGTCAGGGTAGATAATTTAAGCTCTTGAAACATGCAAAGAACTTACCGTGTGCGATGTAGATGAAGACAGTGCTGAGGCAGATGAGAGGCTGCTCTGATGATTTGAGAGAGAACTGGGAGGAAAACAAGTGTGAGGGATAAGATAACTGAGGGTCAGTTCACATCTGAGTACCTAGAGGGAGGGAGGAGACTGTCGTCTGGGGACATATCTGGGGTTTTTCAAAACAACAATGACCAGCACTGGAGTGGGCAGGTGGTTTAAGAGCTGTCTTGGTAGGTCATTGGGCAATTCTCACCATTAAAAGAAAGCCACCCACGTCTTGTAACCTAAAGGCTAGACTTGTAAACCAGAAGCTTCAGCAGGTGCAAATATAGGTGCTAAGAGTTAGCTGGTCACCAGCACCACACAAACCCAGCATTTCCAGCGGTCTAACTGGCTTCCTTTTGGTAACCAGTGGTGGTGGGTGAGCCATGTGTCTGCATCATTGTGCAATTGGGCCGTTGGTGGAAGTGTGTCAAATAAAACTGGAGTATGTTGGCCTTGTGGAGGTTAAGGAGACACAGAGGAGCACCGCTTGTGCACCTGCCCAGCCACCCACCTCCAACTCACGCCCACCCCATACCACCCTGCTGTACCTGCTTAACTGGGAGAGTGAGCTGCTGACCAAGTCATTTGACTGCGGCAAGCTGGGAAGTGCTGCTGTATGCGGTGGTGCCGAAGGTAGAAGCAAAGCTGTGGTGGCCGTGGTGCTAGGCAAGGAGCAGCCTTTGGCGGGCAGGGCCGGAGGAGAGGTTTCTGTCTTAGAGGCTGGAATTGATGGAGTGGCTGAAATAAGTTGGGAAAAGCAATTCAGAGGAGGGGCACAACCAAGCTGGTTGGGAAGGTGTTTGTGTAAAATGGCACGCGCGTGATAAAAACATATATCCAATCACTGGGCCATAATGGCTTTAGGGAAGCATCAGCAACTCTGCGCACTGACAAGTCCACACGGTTCTCATTATCCACACACCATGACTTGGTTTGCCCAGCGGCTGTAAATCTACTCCTAAAAGTAATGCCTCTGCCACACCATGGTTCTCTCCCTCAGCCCATTCAGCTCCCCAACAAGCAAGTGTGGCTGTGTTATTTCAGCCAAGCGGAAAACCGGCAGGAGATCTGGAAGGGGCAAAGAGCAAAACAAGAGATGATGCTGTGAGAGGTGGTGGTCTGTGAACGATGATCTATGCTTCCAAGGAGCCAACAGCCAGCCAACAGCCAGCCAACATAGTTTTCTCTATTGTGCGCAGAACAAGCAAACCTCCAGGAATAGTCCACACAGCTTTGCACAGGTTAAACACAACCCCCCCCCCAGCAACATCTTTCTAGAAGTCGTTAAAAGAGCCGAGCTATCTTGCGATTCAGATATCTGTGCACAAGACGACGGAGTGGGAATGGGAGGTGTGTGTGTACGCGCGCGCACACACACAGTTTATTGATTGTATAAGATTCATACAACTGCCCCTTCAAGGTGGTATTTTATTAAATTCAAGAATAGCAATAAAACATGATAAAGTTACTGTAATGTGTATGGGTTGCTCGTGCGTAAACTGCCGCCTCTCCAGTCTAAATTGCCTTGTTAAACCTTTCTGACTGGACAGCCCTTCCCATCGTGGCTGCTTCAGTCGCTAGCAGAATCCATCAGTGGGCGTTTCTTAAACCTCTTCCAACATAAAAGTTGTTTGACGCCCAGTCTCCTCCTCCTCTCACTGCGCGGGAGTCTTCTGCGCAGGGAGGGCGTGGGTAGCGGAGGACCTGTGCTCTCTCCGCTGATGTCCAGTGAAGAGTCCTGGAGCCCTCTTGCCGATTCCCCCATCTGCCCCCCTTTATCCCTGGTGTTGCGCTGATTTGCTTCCCCCTCTACTGAGCTGCCTCTCCCCCTGCTGGGCCCTTCGCCAGCATCATCTGGGAGCCTTCCCTTCGCCTCTCGCTCCGATGTCAGTTCCCTGACAGTTACAATCAAAGTACAACCACACTGTATTACTTTCCCTTAAAACTGAATAGCAGCTATTAATTTGGAAAGGCTCCTATTTCCCAGGGAAGAGTATTCCGTAAGTGTGGGGCCATCACTAAAAAGGCCCTCTTCAGCCTAATATTTCTTATGGACAGACCAGACAGCAGGGTCTCAGTGATGGATTACAACTTTCAGACAGGCTAGTATGGGACCATGCAGTCCCTCAGACAACCTGGTTCCAAACGATTATGGACTTCAAATGATCACAAGCAGAACTGTGAACTGGGCTTAGATACAAACAAGCAGCCAGTGTAACAGTTACAGAACTGGTGTCGTATGTTCTGCATGCTTGGCCCCTACTGGCATTTTTGCTCCCATATTCTGAAATGTTAAAGTTTCCAAATGGCCTTTAAAGGCAGCCCTATGAAGCACAATGGATATAACCTGAGTGTCACAGAGGCAAGATTAATATACTAGATATTGTCAGCGGCTGGAAAACCAGTCAAAGTTGGTTAAAGGAATTCTTGTCATTGGTGTCACCTGCACTTTCACTGAATGAGGTGAAGCCACGAGCAACTCCAGGTTGTGCACCTGATTCTTCAGGAGTAACTGAACCCCATCCAAAACAGATTTCCCATCTGGCTTCTACAGCAAAATCTTTACCGCAGCAAATCTTTACTGCATCCTTTAGAGAGGCTGAACTACCTTCTACAGCAAAATCTTTACTGCATCCTTTAGAGAGGCTGAACTACCTTCTCCCTCAGTTAAGTATTTATCATCTCCAAAGTCCATACTGACAGCCTGATCCTGGCAGATTCTACTGGCCAGGAAGGACAATTCAACAAGCAAGGGGTAGAGGTAGAGCTCAGCCACCGAAGCAAATAAACAATCTATTCAGGCTGCAAAATATATAGAAGCATTCAAACCCGCCTTCTGAAGCACTCCAGTCCAGTGACAGATATATCACAACCACGAATTTTGCCTCTAAGTGTCAAGTAGAATTATTTTAACGTGTTAATATATAAATCTATGTTTTATTATGGCAAAATGTGTCTCATGAAGAATCCCTGCTTAAAAGAGAACTCTAGAAGCCTCCCAAAAATGACTGCTAAGATCAAAGGGTACTACAAAGAAAGAAAAAACCCAGAACGATTCACGCAATGCAAACTTCCAAGATGTCAATGGACCACTTAATTCTTTGGCCCAAATGTGATGTTAGCCCAGTGGATTTCCTTCCTGATAAGCCTCACCCATTTCCTTACCCAGCAGTAAGGGTAAGGAGTGTCTTGTAGGTCAGCTGGTCAGATTCTCTTGGTACATTAATTACAACAACAAAAATCCCACCAAGTAAAGCTGTTTTGTACAAAAATAGCTGGAAAAGTCTGGAGGTTCCCAAGGGAAAGCTATAAGCTTTAAAAATTGACTTGCTTTCCATCCCTAGGACACTGCTGAAAAAATTGCTTCAGGGTTTTGTAATATTTTAACAGCCCTATTTTCTAAAAATACACAAAATGTAACAGCATAACTCTCTAGACGTTAGCAGAAAAGACTCAGTCACAGGATTTTCCACAGCATATTGTATCAGATATGTGCTTGGAAGGTGAACATCATAGTCTATTCATTGTGGCTTGCTAGATTCCACAGGGTTACCAAGTTGCTCCGGCAGGACTTGTTCCCCCAGACAGCCTAGCAAGTAATTTAAGGTGAAGTGTTAACTACTGTGATTGAAATAAAAAACCCAAGCAACAGTTGGAGGGGGCAAGACACATCCAAACACATCAGAGAACAATTAGGCACTCACAGTTGTGAGCTCATGGCACTTGAAGAAAAAACAAAACACTTCACTAACAATCTAGTCTGAAGTTTTAACTAGTCGACCTACGTAAAGGACCTTAAAGCAATGTACAGTGGTGCCTCGCAAGACGAAATTAATCCGTTCCGTGAGTCTCTTCGTCTTGCGGTTTTTTCGTCTTGCGAAGCACGGCTATTAGCGGCTTAGCGGCTATTAACGGCTTAGCGGCTTTAAGAAAAAGGAAACAAACTCGCAAGAACTCGCAAGACGTTTCGTAGGGAAATTCGTCTTGCAGAACGACTCAAAAAACGGAAAACCCTTTCGTTTAGCGAGTTTTTCGTCTTGCGAGGCATTCATCTTGCGAGGTACCACTGTATTCCTTTTGAGAGCTGGTCCAGGCAGCTTCCCTTGCCAGGAATGTGAATTTGAGAGTAACAGGCAAGCAAAATGCTGGGAGAGAACAAGGGAATTAGTGGGGAAACTGAAGCAAACGTAAGAAGAAAGCCCTGCAGCTGGATCAGGTCAAAGGCCCATCGAGTCCAGCTTCATTTTCATAGCAGCCAACCAGACCCCCCTGGAAACCCCAAAAGCAGAACCTGGGTGCAAGAGAGGCCTCCCCACTTGTGCTCCTAAGTAACTGTTATTCAGTGGAAGTAGACTTCCTGACAGTAAGGGCTGTTCGGCAGTGGAATTTGCTGCCAAGGAGTGTGGTGGAGTCTCCTTCTTTGGAGGTCTTTAAGCAGAGGCTTGACAACCATATATCAGGAGTGCTCTGATGGTGTTTCCTGCTTGGCAGGGGGTTGGACTCGATGGCCCTTGTGGTCTATTCCAACTCTATGATTCTATGACTAGCCTAGCGATCTGCCATCAGACCCGAAAACCACGCCTCAAAAGAGGAGAGCAACAAATCAACTGCTGGCAGTCAGGAGAATGCTAACTCAGTCCAGGATTGACTAAACTTCAGCCTAGCTTGGGAAATATCCCGAATGAGGCTGAACTCACATATGCAACTGCACAGAGACCAAAAAGAGCCGCCAAATGTGCTGGCCTCACACAGGATGCCAGCTCCCTGCAGGATTGCCGCAGGTATTCTTAGTGAATGATTTTTAAAAGGGATGCAGGGTCAGCCCTGTCAAAAGTCTGGGCTTGGGCACAGGGTGCATGCAGAGGAAGCAGGAAATGGCCTGAACTCAATATGGTTAACTGCTAACACCCATCTGTACACCAGGTGGCAAGCTTCACAACAGCTGGCTTGGCTGTGAACTACTAAGGCCTGCATGGAAAACCAGCATAAGTGCTCCAAGTACAAAATACGGTCCTCACCACCCTGATCTCTGAGAGCAGAAGGCTATCAACTCATACTAACAGCAAGAAAAAACTCGTAACTCCATGCATAACAAAGGTTTATGAACTTACTGTCAAGGGTTGGCTGTGTTCGCACACTGCTGTGTCCATTCTGGAAGAGTAATCAAATAATATTAATTAGCATATCAGCTCTCCAAAAGTGAAATGAAACAGGTAGCCAAATCCCAGCTAACACAGCAGGAAAAGAAAGGAATTCGGCTCAGGTCATTTTTTTTGTGCTAACATGCAAAAACAGTGAGAAATATGTGTAAGGGGCGTATATTAAGGGGTACATTCTACTAACTCAAAGAACCTTGTGAACACATTGGGGGTAGTCCATCTAAAGTGTGGCAGGTTTTTAGCAATGTTACATTTTAAAATCCAGCTTTAACCGGACAAATGCTTTTTCAAAGTCATTGCTGTTTTCTGTTAGCCTGTGTGACGGAACAGGCGAAAAAACAAATAAGACTATGGTTGGTCATTAATGATCCCCTCCATATGTACGTACATATGTATGTATGTTTCTCTTCTTTCTTTCTTTCTTTCTTCTTTCTTTCTTTCTTTCTTTCTTTCTTATATCACCTTTCTGCCAAGGTGGCTTACACTTTTAAGTATTAAAATGAGTGGTGCAAAATGTAAGGTTGGTCAGAGGGAGGGAGGGGATACGCTGGCCAGAGTTTAGTGAGGATGCTTGTTAACAGGCAGGGATTTTCAAAGGTAAGTGACTATTGCTTGGCACTTTTAAAGTGCAAGTTCTGCAAATGCATGTCTTGGTTTGTGTGCATTGTAGTGTACACAGGGTGCAGCGCTCATCTCACTTTTCAGGCCGAGTGAGCCAGTGTTTGTCTGCAGACAGCTTTCTAAGTTATGTGGCCAGCACAACTAAACCACTTCTGGTGCAACAGAACACAGTGACGGAAGCCAGACTGCACAGAAACGCCATTTACCTTCCTGCCACAGTGGTACCTATTTATCTACTTGCACTGGTATGCTTTCAAACTGTTAGGTTGGCAGAAGCTGGGACCAAGCAAAGAAAGCTCACCCCATTGTGTGGATTCAAACTACTGACCTTCTAATCAGCAAGCCCAAGAGACTCAGTGGTTTAGACCACAGCGCTACCTGCGTCTGAGCAAGCATACCTAGACTTCCAAACATCCCCTGCTATGACAAGTGACTGTCTCTTAAGCTTATTAAGTCCTTTGCAGTTTGAACAGTTCCTGCCAATTCATCACTGGTACTGTTTAAAGTTTTGTAATCAGTTATGCTAGTCCCCAACTCATTAGACAGTCTTCAGGAAAGACTGTGGTTCCCAGCATTGCTTTGATAATGCTGCCAGCCTACTTTGCAGGGTTGTTGCAGCTTACTGAGCATATGTGCAAAGCCCTTTTGACTGCTCAAGGACTTTCAGGTTGCATCGACTCCAAAACATTGTAGCTTCATTTGAAAAGACAAAGCAATCAATATGGCATTGCTGCTAGATGCTGCCCAGCTGGGATGTAAAGAACAGTGGGATATAATCTGCATGTATGCAGATGATACCCAGCTCTACCTTTCTTTCAAATCAGAACCAGTGAAGGCGGTGACGGTCCTGTGCGAGTGTCTGGAGGCGGTTGGAGGATGGATGGCGGCAAACAGATTGAGATTGAATCCTGACAAGACAGAAGTACTGTTTCTGGGGGACAGGAGGCGGGCAGGTGTGGAGGATTCCCTGGTCCTGAATGGGGTAACCGTGCCCCTGAAGGACCAGGTGCGCAGCCTGGGAGTCATTTTGGACTCACAGCTGTCCATGGAGGCACAGGTTAAATCCGTGTCCAGGGCAGCTGTGTACCAGCTCCATCTGGTACGTAGGCTGAGACCCTATCTGCCCGCGGACTGCCTCGCCAGAGTGGTGCATGCTCTGGTTATCTCCCGCTTGGACTACTGCAATGCGCTCTACGTGGGGCTACCTTTGAAGGTGACCCGGAAACTACAACTAATCCAGAATGCAGCAGCCAGACTGGTGACTGGGGACGGCCGCCGAGACCATATAACACCGGTCTTGAAGGACCTACATTGGCTCCCAGTACGTTTCCGAGCACAATTCAAAGTGTTGGTGCTGACCTTTAAAGCCCTAAACGGCCTCGGCCCAGTATACCTGAAGGAGCGTCTCCACCTCCATCGTTCTACCCGGACACTGAGGTCCAGCACCGAGGGCCTTCTGGCGGTTCCCTCACTGCGAGAAGCCAAGTTACAGGGAACCAGGCAGAGGGCCTTCTCGGTAGTGGCGCCCTCCCTGTGGAACGCCCTCCCACCAGATGTCAAAGAGAACAACAACTACCAGACTTTTAGAAGACATCTGAAGGCAGCCCTGTTTAGGGAAGCTTTTAATGTTTGATGTATCACAGTATTTTAATATTCTTTTGGAAGCCGCCCAGAGTGGCTGGGGAAACCCAGCCAGATGGGCGGGGTATAAATAATAAATTATTATTATTATTATTATTATAAATCTGATAAAATATGGCTTGTTCTTAAATGTGTTCTTTTACAATGCATCATTTTGTTGTTTGCCACCTTGGGCTCCTTTGGGAAGAAGGGAAGGACAAAAGTCTAATAAACAGAATAAAATATTTCAGTCAACGATATCTGAAGCTAAGCCTGAGACACTGTGAGCAGTATGGATGAATTAGGCCTTAGGTCATTTATCTCAACCCTGGCCTCCATAAGCAAGCTGCACTATGGTGACATTTCCACAACGGATGCTTTGCAAAGCCTACTCACCGTGACAGCAGCTGAGATTGGTTCTGATAGAGGCACGGAACTTTGGTATGTTATCCTGCTATGCACAGAGGCCTGGTCAAAGGAGGACGTGGTTGTTATGGGACTAGCACTCTGGGAGGAGCCACTGAGGCTGGCAGAAGTGATGGCAGGGGTGGCATAGCTGGGCTCCTGCACTGTATTGGACATTGGCAAAGAGGTATTCAAAGGATCGCTGGAAAAAACAAAAGTCATTTGACATCACGGTTAACACGGATTCAGATATCATCATGAAGTTAAACAGCTCTCAAGAGAGCTGCTTTGAACCAGATATGCAAGTTTCAACAGCTTAAAATAAGAAAAGGCCTATGCTGGATGCTCACACAACTCAAAAACAAAGAGGCCTTTAAAATGAGGTTTTGGAGTCCTGCCACAAGGGCGAAGTCAAAAATTTGAGACGACCTTTGAAGTAAATCGACACCACTTGTTTCCCATGGCTCTGCGTCACTGTTTCCAGGTAAAAAGACTTTGCTCCTGGCTTTTAAGAGAAGTCCAAGGGAAGGCATAATAGTTGTGAGTGGTGTCAAGAGGGGAAATGTTTTGCCTCCCCTCCTTGCAGCATTAAAAACCCAGTTGGGCAGTCCTGAGCTCAGGGCTGGCCCAAGACATTTGGGCATCTGAGGTGAACCACAAAATGCTACTCCCCCTCCCCACTAGGAAAGAAGAGGCGAGTGAAGATCTGCATCTGGAGCAAGGGAAAACAAAGATCTACATTGGGGTCTGCTATCACAGTGGATCCTGCCGTCTGAGGCAGTCACCTCACCCTGCCACATGGGTGGGCTGGTTTTGCCTGAGCTTGCTACCAAAGGTAAACACAGAAAACCAAATAGTGGCTTTCTTGGCCCATTAGGAAAAATCCAAATACCTTATTGGGCCAATGCCTTTATTAGGCCAATTAATAAGTCCCGAACTAGTGTGCAAGCGTTTGTCCAGCCCTAAAAAAACCTCATAATCAAACTAGACAATAAAAAATACGGGGAAAGGAGGGGAGAGAAAAAAGGCTGTTTTTCAAGACATCCATGTCTGCACCTGGTACAAGTCTTAACATGGAATGTGGGAGGAGGTAGCAGACATTCACATGTGGCCCTTTCAGGGGCTTTGTAGGTTCCACCCAGGCCTCCCAGGAAGGACACAAAAATGACTGATCCCCCATCTCTGCAAACACTGTATTTGAGAATTAGAGAGACTGAGGACCAGCAATTATAATATATGCAACCAAGGTAAAACTTAAGCCACTGAGAAGACTTAACTAACAGAACTCGCTGCCACCAGACACGATGATGACCACTAAAAGAATCGCTAGGCAATTCACAGAAAATAGCTCTATTCTGAGGCTATTAGCCAGGTTAATTAAACAGAGCCTCCATTTGCTAAAGGCAGCCTGAGATGCTGGGGACAGAAAGGGGGAAGAGATACTGCCATGCCCCGCTTTGTGTGCATCTGGCTAGCTGGATTTTTGGCCTAATCCAGCAGGACTCCTATGTGCAGCATAAGGACAACTTCCCTACTTCACAAACTCAGCTGTCATTTTACTCAGTAGGCTCACAAGGCCGCAGCTGTACAAATCTGCTTTATCACTGTAACCCTGAGCTACAAAATGCTCTTGCACAGTACTCTTGTCAGTACATTAAGATGATCATCTCTGAGCGACAAAACTGTCAACGCTTGTAGCGGCACAGAGCCAGGGCACACAAGGTGTGGTGCACTTTCTTCATATACTGACTTGTGTTCTTCTTCCGGTGCATTCTCCTTTATGGCAATTTATGGCTTTGTTTGGCAGTCAGAAAATTTGAACGGAGGGTATAAACCTGGACCTCAGGTCAGCTAATTCCTCATCTCTAGCCCAAGTCCTCTGCAACACTCATGGCTGAAAAAGATGCTGTTTTTTGTTGCTATTGAGGCTTGTTTCAATAAAAGCGTGTCCCTTCCTGAACTCTTACTCCCATCTTAAGTATTCTCATGTAGCACTTTAAGACCCAAGCCCAATGCTGCCAAGGAATAAATGGAAAGCCAAACCACCCAGAGCGGCTGGGGCAACCCAGTCGGATGCACTGGGTATAAGAAATAAATTATTATTATTATTTTGTATTGTACTACAGACAGCTGTGAGAGTTTACATAATTAGGGAGTTCATAGGAAAGCTAAGGCATTCACAGCATCCATTTCCACTTCCAGCCTGATTTTCAATGCAGGTCTTTGCAGCCAGCAGGTAATAAGCCTCTTTACATTTAGAACTCTACACCCAGGATTTTCTTATTTTCAAGTAGAACTATTTCAGCCCCGGGAGGGTTGTGCCACAGAGTCCCTAGAACAAAACGCCTTTATCTTCAGACATCTTCCCTGACACAAAATCAAGCTTGGTGAGAAGCAGACCAGAGGACAGAAGCGGAAGAGTGTGCGTACTTTATGGGCTTTGGGTACAGGATGTTGTTGGGTGCCTGGCTGGTGTTCTCGTAGCTGGAAGCAGTTCCAAACTCCGAGAGAGAAGGCTCCAACCCAAACTCAAGAGCGCCAAACTGCACATTTAACCCTGATACGTCTGTGGATCCAGGCATCTCCACAGCAGAGGAAGGGATCTGAAAATGAAGGAACATGTTGGTCATCTGTTGATTTGGCACCAGAATGAATCATTTCTGCCGCACAGATGCTGCTTTGTACAATATATTTACTTTATTTCTATTTAAGGCGTGAGTATCCCGCTCATAAAACAGATTTCCAAATGCAATTAAATGTATCCCCCACAAATCCCTACAACCAGAAAAACAGTGTGGTGCAATTTAACAGCAAAAGCTAGAATAATACTATTCAACAGACACTAGGAGCTCAAGAGAAGAAAACAGTCTCAACTTGACAGTCAAAAGTGCCATGTGCCATATAAGGGTCCTAGGGAAGGGAATCCCAAAGCTGCAGCGACAACACAGAAAAGGCCCCGCTCTCCAGCCACGTGACCTCCAAAAGGCAGGGACAATGGTCCTCAGAGAAGAGCTCAAAAAGAGCAGGCAGGTTCATACCTTGGTCCCAAACCATATAACAGCTTTATGGGCCAAGACACACAGCATTTGTGCCAGGAAACAAAATGAGATGCAAAAAAACAGGGAAACAACTTTATTTCAGATTAAGGAGAGCTTGATTTTTAGGAATGTATTTGCTGCCAGTCAGTGGGAGTAATACAGATTCAGGCAAATAAAAACTTCATCTCATAGTTGCAAGCAGCATTCACACCCCCACAAACAGAGTTCGGGACAGATTTGTACAACAATGTCGCTGGAAAAATACCAAGCTCCCACCTTCTAAACATCTTAAGAATTCCCAGATTTGCACACAGAATGCCAACAAGTGCATGCTGTTCAAATTTACCCTGATTTCGAAAGCTACATAGGCAGCTGCATTAACGTTTTGAAGATTATGTGATCTGCACAGCACTCAACACCTGCTAAGTTTCTTAAGCAGCTTAAACTTTAAACTCCAGCATCCAGCTACAAAAGCCAGACTACCGTCTTGCACAAAACAAAACAAGCAGCCAGCTAAGGGACATTCTGAGGAAGAGCTATCAATGTAGGTTCTTCTGTCTCTAAAACAAGAGTACAGCCCAAGTGCAAATGCATTGCGCAACTGTACAAAATTAGGCTAATGGAAAGCATGTTTTAATTTATAGGATGGCAAGTTAAGGGCACCCATTTGTTTCTGAAGCTATTTTGACTCTGGTGAAAATGTTTAAGATCACCTCTCCCCACAACCATGAGCAGCAGCTTCTGTTTAAATAGTTAAGTGAACATACACACACCTTCATTGTTATTAACATAAAAGTACTGTTTTTAATAGGGGTTTTTAAAAAGTGTTTTATTGTTTACATATAGTTGTAAACCTCCCAATATTTTGTGAAATAGGAGTATATAAATACTTTTATACCTAAATAATACTAATAGATATACTGCTTACTGCCAAAATAGGCTTCTCAAAAAGACACCTATATGAAGGCTTGGTGATATTGTACATTTATTTAATCTGTTAAAAGGTAAAGGGTCCCCTGACCATTAGGTCCAGTCGTGACCGACTCTGGGATTGCGGCGCTCATCTCGCTTTACTGGCCAAGGGAGCCGGCGTTTGTCCACAGACAGCTTCCGGGTCATGTGGCCAGCATGACTCAGCTGCTTCTGGCAAACCAGAGCAGCGCACAGAAACGCCGTTTACCTTCCCACCGGAGCGGTACCTATTTATCTACTTGCACTTTGATGTGCTTTCAAACTGCTAGGTTGGCAGGAATTCAATCTGTTAGGAGGCAGGTAATTAAGTGAAGCTGAGGCTCCAAGACTTTGGCCACCTCATGAGAAGAGAAGACTCCCTGGCAAAGACCCTGATGTTGGGAAAGATGGAGGGCCTAAGGAGAAGGGGACGACAGAGGACGAGATGGCTGGACAGCGTTCTTGAAGCTACCAACATGAGTTTGACCAAACTGCGGGAAGCAGTGGAAGACAGGAGGGCCTAGTGTGCTCTGGTCCATGGGGTCACAAAGAGTCGGACACGACTAAACAACAACAACAAATTGAGTAAAGCTCTTTCACGAGTTGACGGCCTTTGCCTATGTCTAGCAAGGGCAATACTGCCAGTGCTTGAGCTCGGCAGCTTTACCCACCTTTGAAGCTGGGGGTATCCTCCGTTTTGGCGGCTTGATCTGTTTCTGCTGCGTTTGCTGGGAAGGCGCCACCTGGCTATCTGCAGACAGGTTGGGGAGGTGCAGCATTTTGCTGGCAGCCATTGAGCTGTCAACCGGTGATGGCTCCCGGGCTTTCTGTGGGGTGAAGGATTCCAATCCAGGAGGTGGGGCGGGGGTTGCCAGTGTCTGCTGCTGCTGCTGCTGCCGCTGCGTCAGCTGACTCAGAACTGGGGATGGTTCAGGCTGGGATTTGAAGTCTAAGCACCAAGACCAAGGGGAGAAATTGAACAATTCCATCATCCCTTGCTCCAGGGACAGCTCGTTGGTCAGCAGGTTTCACTACACAGCAATAAAGTTGCTGCTTGTTCCCTCCCCCCACCCCACCCCGCTTTAATCCAAGGGGTCAGTGAACACTTACCAAACTGACTGAGGATAGAAGGCTGTGAAACTGATGGTTTTACATCCCAGGATGATGTTGTGGTTGTGGAAATGGGGGGGTTTGTACTGAGAGAACCTTGCGACGGGAACTGGCCCAAGCCTGGAGATTTCAACTGGTCTAAAATCTGAGATCCAGTGGAATTGGCCAGCTTTGAAGATCCAAGCTCTCCAAACCCTGAACAGAGGACTGAAGACTAATCAGAATGGGGAGAAGAAAAACACACCAAGGTTCACTAGGCTTAATACACAGCAATTCCTGTTTTATAATAGATTACAGAATAATACAAATACATTATACACAGCCAGTTATTAAAAACACAAATGTCTGTGGGAATCTCTGACATCTTTAGTGCTCACCTTCTACAACAGGGGATGAGAACATTTTTGGCCCTGCGGGCCAGATCATTTATCAATGCCCACCCTGCAGAGGGCCAACTTTCGCAGGTGGGGTAGCCCACCTGTAAATCATGACATCAGCTGAGTGATAGGAGGGCAGTCCCGCCCAACTGCCAAAGTTGACTTGTGGAGGTGAGAGAGATAATAATAATAATAATAATAATAATAATAATAATAATAATAATAATAATAATAATAATAAAAATATTTGGACCCCGCCCATCTGGCTGCGTTTCCCCAGCCACTCTGGGCAGCTTCCAACAAAGATTAAAAATACATCAAAATGTCACACATTAAAAACTTCCCTGAACAGGGCTGCCTTCAGATGTCTTCTAAATGTCAGGTAGTTGTTTATCTCTTTGACATCTGATGGGAGGGCATTCCACAGGGCGGGTGCCACTACCGAGAAGGCCCTCTGCCTGGTTTCCTGTAACCTCACTTCTTGCAGTGAGGGAACCGCCAGAAGGCCCTCAGCACTGGACCTCAACATCCGCCCAACACGTTCCCTACAGGGAATGCCCTGGCAAAGGAGCACCCAGCACGACTCAACCCTGCCCATCAGCTGATGTTGCCCAGTATCTTCAGGGCATGGACACATGGACATGGTTCAGGGAAAATGGCCTTTCTGGCCAAAGTGAACCTCCAGCTGACTGCAATTGGCCCACAGGCTATAGGATCCCAATCTCTGCTGTATAGAAACTAAGCTTAAGCACATGCAGCTGTTCCTGAGCACAGAACCCTGTTTCTCCCTTCCTTCTTCTCTGTCAATATTTGGTTTGTGAACACCAACACCCTGGAGGAGAAATCTGCTTTTTTGCTTACATTATTCTGTACACTCCCATAGGAATCACTGTAGTAGTAAATATGACATAGAAAGTAGAAAATGAAACAACAAATTTATAAATTCATGCCTATGGGATAGTTTTAGGGGGAGGGAAGGATGAAGCTGGGCCAGATATAGTGAAATATTCTTTGTTTGGAGAATGATACCTGCCTGTACTAGCAAGGCAATTTTCGCAGAGCTAGAAGACTCAGAAAGTTTTCATTTCCACATGCAGCAGTCAGATATGTGCTTGGAAAGAATGCATCACAGTCCTCCAGCCTGGAAGCGCTCTCAATTTCACGAGCAAAACTGCTTTATTTTAATTAATATGCACAGAGTATCCTCTGCTGTACTTTCAAGAATCAATACAAGTAGGTCACTTCAGCCACTGACAGGGAACAAGTCAGTATACCAAAGATGGGGCTCCCCAAGCGAGGCTGGAAACACTAAGGTTATCCTTTGCAAGAACAGGCTCGCTTCCGCACCCATGTCATACTTCAGGGCAATCTAACTTCACTTTTGCAAATAAGTAGGCAAGACGTCAAACATTATTCAGGGCTCAGGACTGCCTGGCATTTTTAAATAGCGTCCAGGGCAACATTACCAGGCTCTGCGGAGAATAGGAGTTCACAGTGCTTGTGTTGCTTGCTCCCAAGGCCATCTGAGAATCGTGTTGGGAATTTGTGAAGACCAGAGCCTGCCCAAAGCCTTGCTGCTGAGGAGTCTCGAAGGAGTTTGCCTCAGTTTCTTGGCCAGATGTTACAGACTTCTGAAGCAGCGTCACCAGGTCGATGCTACAAGACAGGATGTGAAGACCAGGGATCAGCAAATGTTTTCAGCAGGGGGCCGGTCCACTGTCCCTCAGACCTTGGGGTGGGGGGGAATGAACAAATTCCTATGCCCCACAAATAACCCAGAGATGCATTTCAAATAAAAGCACACATTCTACTCATGTAAAAACACCAGGCAGGCCCCACAAATAACCCAGAGATGCATTTTAAATAAAAGGACACGTTCTACTCATGTAAAAACACACTGATTCCTGGACAGTCTGTGGGCCGGACTGAGAAGGCGATTAGGCCAGATCCGGCCCCCGGGTCTTAGTTTACCTACCCATGGTCAAGACGCAAAGGAGGCACAGATGTGAGGAAACCATATTTTGACTTAAAGTAGCTCTGGTCACCCCTACTCAATGCTGCAAGTTAGGGTATTGTACATCCGAGGCACCCCTGACAAGTATTTGTCCAACATTCTTATTGACACCGTCCAAAGAGATTAGGTCATTTTCTGATGTTATAATGTTGCCTGTGGTAAGACGTTACTCCTAAGCGGTTTCAAGTTATCTTGCCTGAGAGACACCCAAAACCTAAATGCAAGGGAGGCGATTTGTTTTAACAATGAATGCCCTGTCAGAGAAAGAGGACAGAGGCAGATCCCAATCTGGATATTTTGAGCATGCAAATTACTCTTAGGTTGCAAGTCCTATTTGCAGACCTGACTGCTGACAAATCACCAGATACTGGCACCACTTCAATCATTATCTTAATTTGAAATGTGAAATATTAAATTAGTCAAATCTTTGGGGGGGAAGCTGGATTACACTTCACAAAAATATCTCAAACACAGCACAATCAAGTAATTGGCCAGCTTCTTCGCATGGTGTACTGTTCTTCCATAATCCGGCTTTTCAGAGAATTTAGAATTAGTCATAAATGAGCTCCAGGAGGCAGCAAAAAGGAGGATAATGGATGGATGGCCAGAAAAACTGAAAGAAGAGTTGAAGCCAGCGCAAATAAATAACATACACGAGGAGCAAGAAATGGTCCACACTCTTGACACCTGATTCCACCTTCATTTTTTCAGATACAAACTGAAAGTGGTGGTTTCTCATCTGTGTTGCATCCGTGTACATTCACAAGCCCACATTATTTGTGGGTGTAATATATCACACACACACACACACACACACACACACACAACACACACACACCCACCACCACCACAACAAAGAGATTCAATTTCTTAAAAGACCAAACTGATTGTAAGTCAACTATTCCATCATCTGAGATAAAACTTATCTGACTTAAGCTAAAAGTTTAGAACAACATCCAATGCACGCAACCCCCAATTTATGCATATTCAATGTATGTGTGATTGCACATACATGCCAAACACAGAAGTAACCTGAAAACGTCACAAAATGGGGCAGAGCGAGAGGGGGCAGAGGTGGGGTGAGGGCTAAATGGGGTGTTTGCAGGCTTTTTCAATGGGATTTCAAATATGCACCATTTCACTGATGCGCACGGTGACCTACTGCACTTCAAAGCACAAACACGGCAGGAACTAGTTTGTGTGAATGGCTCATCTAGATGTGGAAGAGAGAGAGAGAAGGGAAAGGTATACCTTTGGCCAGCAGCAACGTGGTTCTCCACTGGGACAGATGAAGCAGTGAAGACCTTTGTTTCTGAAAGCTGAGACATGGGGGTGGAGAGAGAAAGAAATTGAATTTTAGCCACATTAAACACACAATTCTTTTTCAGGAGACAATATTCACGAGAAAGACAAGAAAGACAAGAAGGGACATGCTGAGCAAGACAAAGTGTTCCATCTAGCCAATTTGCTTGCCTCAGAACTATGGCCCATACAAACGGATTTCAGGAAGGAAACTGATACAAAAAAAGGGGTTCTCAAGCCTGATAGGAAATTGGCCTCCCCTCTGTGTGTGTGTGTGTGTGTGTGTACACACCACACATATACAGACGAGGGTGGTGCTGTGGTCTAAACCACAGAGCCTAGGGCTTGCCGATCAGAAGGTTGGAGGTACAAATCCCAGCGATGGGGTGAGCTCCCATTGCTCTGTCCCAGCTCCTGCCAACCTAGCAGTTTGAAAGCACATCAAGTGCAAGTAGATAAGTAGGTACTGCTCTGGCGGGAAGGTAAACGGCATTTCTGTGCGGTGCTCTGGTTCACCAGAAGCGGATTAGTCATGCTGGCCACATGACCCGGAAGCTGGACGCCGGCTCCCTCGGCCAATAAAGCGAGATGAGCACCGCAACCCCAGAGTCGGCCACGACTGGACCTAATGGTCAGGGGTCCCTTTACCTTTTACAGTATAAACTTCCTTTGAGGGAAGTTACAGCAGAAGAGTCTCTCAGTAAAGAGGGTTTACAGACTAGTGTTAAGTGGCCAATACGTAACAGAAACCAAAGGCACATGCCGGCCAAGGAGAAGGCAGGGATGTGAGAGGCAGAATGCTATGCTAGCCTGAAGCGTTCAGGCCAATGCCATCACATGACAGCAGTGGGGCCTGCTCAGGATCCAACAGATCCCGCTCACTCCCAAGACTGAAAGTGCCTTACTTAATGATAGCCTAGAAGGACAAAGGACGCTTCCCGTGAGGATCTTATTTTTTCTGAAGCTCAGGGTTAACCTATAGGTGGGTCAGTGGTCTCTTGGGATAAATCCTGGGTTGCGTCAAGCAAGCTCCAGCCCCTCCAAAAGCAGTAAAAGGCAGAAGAGTCTCTTCTCAGCAAGATCAGCTACCTTATCAGTCTACAGACTGCACTGTCCTTGTGGCCAGAACTGATGCTACAGACTGGGAATCATTTTCAACGGGTGACGGCTCAGAGAGCCTGCTGGGGACGGTGGCATTTATCAGATCACATGATGTTCCCAGCAGCTGAAAAGTTTTTTGTTACACAGAATCCAATAAGGCTTCTGGGAAGCAATTGAATCTGCTTCTGGGCGAGCCCAATCATGGCACAAAAGCAAACAACAGCAACAAAAATCTCTCACTGGCACATTGGCAAGTTCCTCGAAACAAACAGATGATGAGTTGTGGTTGCCAGTTGCTTTGCAAGAGTCTCGTTGCCACACTGAGCCCCTCTTAGCAATAAGCATCTGTTCAGAAGCAAACTCGGGGTAGGCTGCATATTTAAATGTGTCCATCATTCATCAAATTCACACAGTATTTGAACCAAAAAGCTTCTGCGCAGCCCCAAAGTACCTAAGAATATCAGTTACCAAGGATGATCAAGGGATAAGTGCCCCTTTCACACACTACCTGTGTACTTTCCATGAAGGAAGAAGTAGAGTGGACGTGAAGGAGCAAAGTGGGAAATGTTTTTCTCACATTTAATTTATTTGCTCAGTTTATATCCCACACTTGCCTTTGAAGTAGCTCAGTCAACAGAACTAATGAGAGAATTTGTGTAGTCCTGATTTTACCATAAAGACTCACATTGAATTTGGGATAGTGTTCAAACATTTCTTTCCAAAGAATCTTTACAATGCAGCCTCGATGAGATTTGGCCAGCCCTGCTGCAGCAAAGGTTCTTTTGAAAAGAGACATTTGAACAATATATCGGGATTAAAATTAGTCAAAGTTGAGGCAACGTTGAAGACAACGTGTCCCAAAAACTAGCAAAACGTTCTAGGTAGCTCATTCAGAAGGAAGTGGCACTGGCTGATCAGAGAATCAATTCAGTGTTCCTGCCTACCCAATGATTACAGACTTACATCTTCATTCCAGTCTTCAGCAGTCCATTCTTCTATTGTGTTCTTCCATGCTCCTATGGCAATAAAGGAGAGAAAAGACAATCAACCCACAATTCCTGGTGCCATACATCCCCTTTGACAGATCCATCCCTAACCCATGTGAAAAGAAATAGAAGTGTAGGGTAAAACTTAAAAAGGTAAAGGTACCCCTGCCTGTACGGGCCAGTCGTGTCCGACTCTGGGGTTGCGCGCCCATCTCGCTTAAGAGGTCGGGAGCCAGCGCTGTCCGGAGACACTTCCGGGTCACGTGGCCAGCGTGACGAAGCTGCTCTGGCGAGCCAGCACCAGCGCAGCACACGGAAATGCCGTTTACCTTTCCGCTATAAAGCGGTACCTATTTATCTACTTGCACTTAAGGGTGCTTTCGAACTGCTAGGTGGGCAGGAGCTGGGACCGAACGACGGGAGCTCACCCCGCCGCTGGGATTCGAACCGCTGACCATGTGATCGACAAGTCCTAGGCACTGAGGCACTACCCACAGCGCCACCCGCGTCCCTTAGGGTAAAACTTGCAAGGTATTAATTACCATACTTATTATGATAGCTTTCAGCCAACCTAATAAGCCCTCCATTAACACTGTCTAAATTCAACAGAATTATTATTTTCTGAAATAGCTCAAAACAAGCCCACAACTGGCTCCCAATGCTCAGGGCATCCATCTGCTGGTGCTGTCATCAATGGCGCAGTGTTTTAGGGTAGAGATGAAGGCTGGCAGAGCAAAGATTAGGGAGCATAAGCTTTTCCCCCCTACAATTTATTTTGAAAACCCCACTGTTGCATTTAAGGAATACTCAAGAGCAGCATAGGCCAGATTGTACCATACAGTTCAAGCAGTGCCCTCTAAGTTTCTATTCAGGTCATGTGTAAAATTGTCTTCTCTCACAGCTAGGTCCTACCTGTTGCCAACATCTTAGAAAAAGAGCACAGACCATCTACTTTCTTCATAATGACTTGCCCTGATCTTGCCCTGAGCCTTTGAAATCAGTTGGGAGCTGGGAGTAAGGAGGTTGCCATTGCATTGGGGCAACTCTGAAGCCCAATGTGACTACAGGAGCCAAGCCCGAACCAAACACTGTGGAAGGGGAGGATGTGTAGCAAACACAAAATCTAAGGAGCTTCTTTTACACACACACACAAACCCCCAGAATTCTCTTACTGAGGTGGTCCCAATCCCTTCCTCTGCCACTGTAGTACAAAGGTGGCCACAGAAAGCCTCCTTTTTAAGATAAAGGATCAGAATCAGCAACACAATTGCAACAATATTCGAAGGCACTTCCCTGCCTTCAGTTTTGAAAGCCCAAACCTCTTATCTATATCCTGTGAGGACATGCACATGCGCACACTACAATGTTGTGTTTTAATGTTGTAACCCAGGTGAAGCACATTATCATTATGAATAAACATAGTAATATTTTTGCTAATGTTAACTCTGGCACATTTGTAATTCTCAAATCTTTGGTGGTGTTGCCTCACCTGTTCCATCATCTGACTCATTCTGCCCAGACTCCCAAGATTCTTTTGTTCCAAAGCCATCTGTAGCAGAAGACTCCGTATAATCTGCAGGGTTAAACGTCCTACAGGTCAAGAGAGTTGAGAAAGTCAGAAATATACAGAAAGATGAGCTTGTGTACCTGCCTTAGACAGAGTAAGACCATTGGCTGGTCTAGCCTAGCGCTGCCTCTTCCAACAGGCAACACTTCTCTGGGAAGTTGAGGGCACTGACTGTAGGGTCTTGTCCAGGCAAACCATGTGCTCTTCCAGAGAAGTCTGGAATAGGGAAGTGCCACTATGAACATGCACACCCAGCAATCATAAAAGAAACCCCTTCTTTAGCATCACTAAAACTGGATTAGGAGGTAGGTAAATGGGAAGAAACTGCTTCCTATCAATTTCTTAAATGGTTATTACTAACGAAATAGAATGTGTCAAAGTTTCCCTGTAGTTGGTCTGGAAACTGCAGTTTGTGCAGACTGTACAGAACTTGCACTTTTAGCCAGTATCATGTAATATTTGTTCTCCACCTGTCTCCCAGGGTGGCAGGACCTACGCTTTGGAACTCCCTGCCTGTGGACATTAGGGCAGCAACCTCACTGTACTGTTTTATAAAATGGTCTGGAAACTAAAAACATCTTCATTAGCTGCCAGTGCACTTCTGGGTGGGATTCAGAAGGCTGGTGTTATATGGTCAACATATTTGACTATGAGTCTGCTTGTTCGCTGGAATAATCATCCTATACCCCGCTCTTGGGAGGTCAGACAAGGAAGGGCCATTTCAGTGACAGTACCTAGGCTGTGATAAACCTTCCTAGAGACATTCCCTTGCCCCTCCATCCTGCTACCACTTTTTTGACTGCAGAAGCACATTAAAACATTTATAACAAATTAATTTTAGTGAGAGACAGTTGAGGGTCCTTCTGCTTCTATTATGAAATGGCTTAGAAGCCATTTGGGCATGTAAGCAGTACTGTAAGCATGCAACGTATGCGAGTGTTACGCTCCCGGGATCACATCTAAAGCCAAAATCAAATATAGTCTAATAAAAAATAAAAATAAAATAAAATAATAATAATAATAATTTTATTATTTATACCCGCCCATCTGGCTGAGTTTCCTCAGCCACTCTGGGCGGCTCACAACATACATCAGAACATACTAAAACATCAAACATATCAAAACTTCCCAGCAGGTGGGATGGTCAAAGTCAAATTTCCTGGAAACCCACCTTATTTCCAATTTTTAAACTTTTTTTTTTTTGGCCACATTTCATTTCATTTCATTTCATTTTTGTTATTTGTATGCCGCCTTTCCACATGCACAAAGCTGAATGTGCACAAGTTAAATTTGCAGCCTTACTGTATATAAATTTAATAATAATAATAATAATAATAATAGCGGTTTATTTTGGTATAGGCACTTCAATGGTGTTTCCACATGGTCTTTTATTGATCTGAATTGCATTTTATATATATGCTTGCCACCTTGTAGAATATACTGTAAAACAGCAGGCTATAAAGCAGTTTAAATAAAATATACTCCCTCCTTGCTGCATGCAGCAATATCTGTGACCTTGCACACTCCCACCCAGCTCTTCTCGTCACATAAAGGCAGCAATATCTAAACTGGGAGATCCCACAGCTATCTGAATGGGAGAACTCAATGGCTGAGGAAACATGGGATGGAATAACAACAAGCGAGCAACCTTGCACTGAATAAACCTGTGCAGCTGGATGTGCCTTCTATACACAGTGAGGAGGCCAACAAACCCCTGATCTCAATGCATTCCGAAAACATGGAGGGGAGGGGCAATTTAGCCACTACTGTGCTTCTTAAAAGCATGTCTGCTTGTGCCTCAAAACTATCATTTAGACTGACTGTGGTCATGTTGTAGTGTACCATGAGGGAAGCAGGAAAGAGTGCCAAGGTTGGTAAGTTTTTAACTGCACAGTGAGAGGCGTTGCAAGTGAATGAGCGAATGTGCGATTAATTTGACACTGCCAGATGGTGCCAAGGAGCAACCACCACCTACTGCCAGCAGAGGATGTAATTTCAGAAACTCTCAGCTGGAGTATAGTTGGGGTGAATGAGCTCCAGTAGTCCTTTTAACTCCTTATCCGCCACGCCCTGCTGCCTATGTTAGATGGCAAAAACAGCTTTTCTGCTCATGGTTCCAACAGTGCTGAGATTGTGACTTCCCAGGGGGTAAGCATGGTGCGCCAAAAACAAAGAAGGGTCTTGCAGCATCTTAAATTCAAACATATTTATCATGCCTTAAACCTCAGTGGGTGAGCCCACTTCACCAGATGTGCATTGGGTGGGCAGCTAATATAACGGCCACCATTAGTCACCAATTCTGAGACTAAGAAAAAAGACTACCAACACCACAGCCGTGCCTATGAATATCTCAAGAGCAAAGCTAGGAAGCCTTCATACTTTCTAAGGCAATGCTGGTTTTTTTTTATTTGACAGACTCTTTGATTTGGATGTCAATTTCTTCCATGGTGTCCTAAAAATTCTTAACACAAGGCCAACAGATACTGCAGTCCAGGTTAAATTTTACATTCAGATTATTTAAACCCCTTAACTTTTATTTTGCTTTTGCATCTCCAAATCTTATCAGGCACCTGCAAGTGCTATTTTGATATCTACAAAGTATCTTCAAGGGCACCCTCCCCATATTAGCAGCAATATAACACAACCATTTTGTGCTATCCATGAAGTTGCGAAATGCAATTGTGCGTATGCTGCTCAAATAGTACATGTCTTAACTGCAGCGCCTGTGAGGTTTCCTTGTTAGAGACTCACAATGCACTATAATTTTACAGTTGTACCTAAGTGATTGTTATAATTCTGTTATGAATATATTAATAGCATAATATTTTGTTTAGATACAGAAGTTATTCAGGCTGTAATAGTGAAGGCACCTATTTCACAAGGACTTGGGTGTTTCCACTGCCTTACTTTTATAAAGTTTCCTGATATCAGGATGAAGGGAGTCAATAAGTCCTCTCAATACAGTCAAACATTTAACAGATTCTCCATTACATGGATCTGTGTAATTTCTTTAATACAAAGTTAAGCAGTGTTGACAGGTCCTATTTTAGCTGATATATTTTCTTTCACTGACATGGTGTAAAGAACCTACCCCATGCCTTGGGCTGAAAACCTCCCTCCTCCTCTTCCTCTGCCACGTCCAAATCCTGTGGGAAGGAAAGAGCCTCATTTAAGGGTGCAAGGTGGATAACTGAACATTCAGCTCCCAAGGTTTCAGGAGGGGGAGTCAACCTGGGATAGTAGGGTTCAGCCATTTCTCCTCTTCTCATTTCCTTCAGAAACAGCACACTCTCTTCTTAAACAAGGAAGCAAGACAACATGACAGCAGAAAAGAAACTCCTTTTCTATCCTCTTCATAAATACCTAGAGGGAAACCCAGATAGTGGCAGTGTGGTGCAGTGGTTAGAAGACTGGGAGTCCAGAGTTGACATCCCCACTCAGCCATGAAGAGTGACCTTGGACCAGCCACAGTCTCTTCACATAACCTACCCCACAGGGTTGTTGTGGGGATAAAATGGGATGGGGCAGAACTTACTCTTTTACCCTGCAGCTGCAAGAAAAGGAGACTGGGGGAGAGTTATTTTTTAAAGATGCTAGATCCAGTTTGAAAACAAACCCCTTTGTTATACAGTGGTACCTTGGGATGTGAAAGGGATCCATTCTGGAGCCCCGTTCGCATCCCGAATGGAACGCAAGAAGTGATGGCGCGTCTGCGGGTCACGTTTCGCCGCTTCCGTGCATGACGTCATTTTGAGCGTCTGCGCGAGCGGCGAAACCCGGAAGTAACACACTCCATTACTTCTGGGTTGCCACAGAGCACAACTCAAACGCGCTCAACCCGAAGCACATTCAACTCGAGGTATGACTGTATGTCAATACAGTGGTACTTCGGGTTAAGTACTTAATTCGTTCCGGAGGTCCGTTCTTAACCTGAAACTGTTCTTAACCTGAAGCATCACTTTAGCTAATAGGGCCTCCTGCTGCTGCTGCCGCGCCGCCGGAGCACGATTTCTGTTCTCATCCTGCAGCAAAGTTCTTAACCCAAGGACTCTTACTATAATGTTGACCCCTTTGCATGAAAGCTTGGTACTAATGAGCAAACAGGCAGCTAAAATAACAGAAGACTGCTGGGCAGCTGGGGTGGGAGCAGGTTAGGAAAGGATAAGAAAAGTCTTACTTCAAACAAACCCCTTCCTCTTGTACCCACAATCTCATCACAAGCCTCCCACCCACCTGCCTGTTCTTTTTGCAGCCTTCCAGCAAAACAATCTTTCCATCTATTAAAATACTACACTGTTATCACTAGTCTACAAGGACAACATCTTCACAGCTGCACCATTTTGAAACACTGAACTGGAGACAGCCTGACCAAACACATTTCATAGAATCATAGAGTTGGAAGAGACCACCAGGGCCATCGAGTCCAACCCCCTGCCAAGCAGGAAACACCATCAGAGCACTCCTGACATATGGTTGTCAAGCCTCTGCTTAAAGACCTCCAAAGAAGGAGACTCCACCACACTCCTTGGCTTCCTGAATTCTACAAAGGCTGCTTTTAATCATGTGGTCTAGAAGAGCCACCATCACACCAACCAAGGGGGACAAACTGGACCCAAAATACAAAATGGATTAGATGTTTAAAAGTGCAGGTACAAGCTTAAAAATGCAGGCAGAAGCTATCGGTCTTCAAGCCTCAGCATTTAACTAGGCCATACCCTCGACATGGACACAGTTTACAATACAAGCCACATGTGAAAGGGTAATGGCATGCTTCAGCTATGAAATACAGCAGGGTATTCTTTTGCATGTGTTTTTTTTTAAGATACTCCCTGAGCTGAAAGTATTCCAGGCTTATCTTGCATCAACTGCAAAGGAGGTGCTGGTTTTCAGCAATGTCCCAGACTATTCTTAAGCAGGAAACACCAAGATCCTAGTGCTTATGCCAGTAGTTAGGCCACATTCACATGGACAAAATGCAAACAGCACTCAGGTCCTGCTTACGGGATTCCCCTAGACACTGGTTGGCCACTGTGAGAACAGACTACTGGGCTAGATGGTTGCCTGCATGGCTCACAAGTCCCGCAGCCCTTTAGGGGCAAGAAAAAGAATTATCAGGCAAGTGGAGCACAGGGTCAGAGGGTGGAGGGCTCTTAACAGAAGCTATTTCTTGCAAGGTTCCTTTTTCAAGGAGAAGGGAAAACAAAAATATTCATAGGTTTGTCTTACCTCTCCCTCTGCTACGTTTCCCACGATCAGAAGGCCTCTCTCCTTGGCTGTTATCCACTCCATTCTCCTCTACTCTGACTAGATGTGGGAGGAGAGATAGAGAAAGCAAAACGTTACTATATACAATATGAATGCTTGCCCACTCAATCAGACTTTTTGTTTTTTTCAACTGCGCAGGAGACAGAATCACACAGCAAGAATGGAAAGGGTGAGGGGTCCTAACAAGACACAAGAATTTGGACTTGCAGGTGCTACTCTGCCTGTTAGCTGAAGCCTCGGTTCACTGAGAAGCCTACAGAGATAAATGGTTTGATGATACCATGCCTAAATCTTTCCATAAGTTCCTGCCTTGAATATAAAATGTCTTTCCTTTTATCAGGCTATACATTTTAGGACTCTTGTGTTCAATATGCATGGCACTGGCCTTGTTTTAATACTGTGTTGCTGTTTTAGAGTGTGTCTTTAAGAGTGATGAGTGTTTGCTGTTTTTAAATATTTGTGAGCAGCTCTAAGAGCTCCTTTGAGGTTGAAGAGCGAGCAGGGTATAAGTGCCCAAAATTAAAATATTTGATCAGCTTTCAGACATTTTTCATGAGCCCATACTCAATACAGAAAATACACCCCCAATATTATTATTATTATTGTTTGAAGAAGAGAAAAGTGTCATTAAACCAAGCCAGTACCAGGTTCTCACGGCTGTATAAATTGTACCCAAACTAGGCAAATCCTTTCGTTGAAGAGAAACAGCTCTGCGTGCACAATTTGTGGTTCTTCCCCCAGTGCTCTACTGCAAACATACAACAAAGCAACTCAAGCACAACACGCTCCTCTGTGAACGCAAAGGCAAACTAAGGCAACCGCGTTCCTAGGAGCAAGGTGCCTGCGCTTACACTCTCGACCACGGCTGCCCCCTCTTCCTCGTCTGCTGGAACTTCCCCGTCCACGGCTCACTTCTCTGTCCCCTCGCTTTTCTCTGTTCTCTTTGTTTTCTGAACTCTCTTTTCCAAGACTTTTCTTCTTTCCTCCCACTGTCTCCCACGAAGTCTATTTGGGTGGAGAAGGAAAACACAGAACAATTCAAAAGGGGTTTAAAGACTGCCTTGAGAATATCTTCCAGTGTAAAACCTCTAAGCTCTATGGGAACCTTTTACAGCCCTTCAGACATGCAAGGTCCATTGTCAAACAAAGCCTTGAGGGCACCTGCAAAGCCTAGAAACCATCAACACTAAACCAGCATCCTTGGAACGGAATTAATCCCTGTGGCATTTTAATGGCAAAGTATTTTTACAGGGACAAACTTTGTGACATTAAAACAGGGTCTTAACATTATTTACTTATTTATTTAAACTGTAAATAGGCAAATCAAGATCCAGACCTCACACACCCCAAAATACTATAGTCCTGATTAAAATCCCCCTCTCATCCATGGATATTTGGCACAGGAGTGATGCTATCACTCATGCCAAATAGTATCAGAGGTGGGTTACTGTTTTTTTGGCAAAAGCCTGGTTATCTCCTTTTTTTTTTTTTTTTTGTCCATACAATGTTGAGCCACATGTTTAATACCATGTAGGTGTTTGGCTCATAGCCTCTTTCCTTACTATTTAGGCCCATTTCATAAGCAGGTATCAACTTGCCCACGATCACCAGCACAACTGTGTCTGAAAAGGGGTTGGAACCCAGAACTGAAATCTGCCTCCCCACCCTCTTATATCAGCCTTCCCTAACCTTGGGTCTCTAGATATTGTTGGACTATAAACCCCAACATCCCCCAGCAAGCATGGCCAGTGGACAAGGGGGTTGGGGGTGTAGCCCAGATGCACCTGGGCTATGCTAATATCTCATGACTGACTTTGGTATTGTATCCCAGCTCGTCTTGAGAGACATTCCTGCATTACTGATTAGGGTACAAAACCCTACCGTTATACTCTGCTGTCTCATTTCATGTGGCCCCCATGGGTGGTGGAAGTGGGGATTTTTTTGACTGCTCAAGTCTTGCAACAACTGCCAACACTCACAATGTTCAACGATAAAGGGGGAAATTTCCCAGAATATCTTGTCTATTGGTTCTTTGAGTTGTGGCACATGTGTATGCTGGTTAAGCAGCAAGAATTGGCGGGCGGGGAGGTGAGTTTTGCTGCTTTTTTGGACTAATTCGTACTTTATTTTTATCCACTTTCCAAGCAAATACTGTCTCCAAAAATGTCTCATATCAGTTCATACAAAAACGAGATGCTGTTCCACAAGACACAAATGAGAAGGGAGCAGAGGGAGAAGGCGGAAGGAGGAGATCAGTCTGACAATGCCAATGGTGGTATATAAATAACGACTGAAAATCCAGTTGGTGCCAGGCTGGTCTTCCCTTGAGAAAGACATGCCACTCAATTATTAATTCTGAATGAATGTAACATACAGGTATTTGCTTGATCTGCATAGCTTAACCTGGATTACAAGGGGAATATCCTGGCCCAACCAGGGCTGGTCAAAGAGCAAAGCATAAATCCTAGCAAAATATACCAAGAAAAATATATGCATGTCTCAAAGTGACTTGACTACCAAAATGCTTTCCATCAATGTCAACCCCCAACTCAATAGCCAATTTGCCAGAAAGCAAGAGAGAACCTAAATGAATCTTTCCTGCACCCACTAAGAGGCCCAAAAGGCTTTTGCTTTTCTTATGTTCCAAGGAAAGAGAACCCCCTCTGATGCCGGCTCATGGAGCAGTTGGGATGGGGGATGAGGTTTAGGTTCCATCCCCTAACAGTGTGCAAATCAGCCCAGAACATGACGAGCAGGAAATACCAGTTGTTTTTATTCTAGAAAGTCCTGATTTAGGTAGTGTACAGTCTCACTCCAGATATGAGAGTGAGACTATGAAGAAGACTTATGTCTCTGTTGTCCCAATTCAAAACGTAGATAGTAAGCTCAAGAGGGCATCACAGTCCCTCTCAAACATATAGTGATAGGTTTTCTTGTTTTATCGTAATAAAGCAGACAGGGAGCTGTCCACCCTCATTCCACACACAGTGAGCCACAAAGGTCAGAAGTGGGGCTGTATTCTTATCAAATTCTACAGGGCAGAAGAAATAGTAGAGGAGTATAAGCTGCTGAAGGGGGGGTAAAACGCGGGTGGCGCTGTGGGTAAAAGCCTCAGCGCCTAGGGCTTGCCGATCGAAAGGTTGGCGGTTTGAATCCCCGCGGCGGGGTGCGCTCCCGTTGCTCGGTCCCAGCGCCTGCCAACCTAGCAGTTCGAAAGCACCCCCGGGTGCAAGTAGATAAATAGGGACCGCTTACTAGCAGGAAGGTAAACGGAAAGGCGTTTCCGTGTGCGGCTCTGGCTCGCCAGAGCAGCGATGTCACGCTGGCCACGTGACCCGGAAGTGTCTCCGGACAGCGCTGGCCCTCGGCCTCTTGAGTGAGATGGGCGCACAACCCTATAGTCTGTCAAGACTGGCCCGTACGGGCAGGGGTACCTTTACCTTTACCTTATAAGCTGCTGAACACAGAATTCAGCTTCCAGAGAATCTGAGCTCCTATTTTTCAAGAAAGCAGCAAGTTCCTACACCTTATGTTGCAAACAGATACTTGAGTGTGTGGGGGAAATGCCTACTAATATCTCAGAAGCCAGAGAGGTGGTTGAAAAATTACAGAATTGTAGGGCTGGAAGGGACCCTGAGAGTCATCTAGTCCACCCCCTGCAATGCAGGAATCTCATCTAAAGCATCCATGACACATGGCCATCCAACATCTGCTTAAAAACCTCCAATGAATAAGAGTCCACAACCTCCCTATGGAGTCCGTTCCACTTTCTAACAGTTCCCAAAATAAAGGTGGGGGAGCAGCTTAAAATATCCCGTACAATTCATTGTCCTCCATAACTAGCAAAACTGGAATTAGGGAAGAAAGGGAAAAGTAAATTTGGAAGCTTTAGTTTTCTTGGGGCCTTATTTTTTTAAAACCTCAAACACAGTCCTATGCAGGAGTAGTCCAAGTTACTTTTGAGTACCCCAGTTGAGCATTTGCATACACCTTCACATTACAGAACCCTGGTAGCAGGTATCAAGGGTCAGGGATAATTCATCCTAAGCAGGTACGCAAGTTAAGTGCTTTGCCAGTTTTCCAGGGCAGACCTCCAGTTCACCTGCTCCTTTAGACTTAAGAGACTTCCAGGCTCTCCAGATCCAGGGTCAATATCCTGTTTGTTTGAAGAAAACTGCATCAGAAATTCTAACTGGTAGCAGGACAGAAAGATGAATCTAGGTGATAATTACAGTGGATTGCTTTTTAGCATGTGGCACTCTAAAACAGGGGTGGGCAGAAGGTAGATAGTAAAACAGGGGTGTGCAGAAAGTAGATTAGGGTTCTACCAGTAAATCTGCAGTGATTTGCAGTGGATCAGCAAGGATTCTGACACCAAATTATTTAATAAGAACAACAAGACCTTTTCCTCCCTTCTAAATTAGGCTGCTGAGCTGAAGAAAAGTGGGGGGGGGTGAATTGATGGGGGAGAGGAGATTTTAGTGTAAGCTCAGTCCTGGTACTGAAAACCATTTCCTGGGCTCAAAATGAGGAATCCCCTACAAAGAATCCTTTTCCTGAATTATGAGGTCCCCCGCCCCCTGCCACTATTTTATACCTGGCTTTGGCTGGTGGATCTCAGGGTTCTAGTAAAATTAATTAGAACCTCACAAGCCTCGTCTGCGGACTCCAGTACTGAACAAACTTTTGCAGGAAGCGAGTCTAAGGAACTGAGGCAGATAATGGTGATGAGGGATGAAGTTCTAGGCCTAACAGACAAAACAAAAACTGACAAAACACCAGGTCTGGATGGCATCCACTTGAGAGTTATCGAAGAACTCAAATGTGTAATTGCTGAACTTCTAACAAAATGTAACTTGTTCCTCAGATACCTAACTGGAAAACTGGTGAAAAGTATTGGTAAAGGTAAAATAACCAAGCACAGAGAAGAACAAGCCTTGAGGAAGTAGAGCCAGCACGGCTTTTGCAATGGCACGTCCTGTCTCACGAACCTATTCAGAATTCTTTGAGCGTATCAACAAGCATATAGATAGAGGTGATCCAGTTGGCATAGTGCACTTGGACTTTCCAAAAGCTTTCAACAAAATAATTCACCAAAGACTCCTGAGTGAGTAAGCTTAGCAGCCATGGACTAAGAAGTGAGGCTTTCTTGTGGACCAGTGAGTGGTTAAGTAACAGGAAACGGAGTAGGAAAAAATGGACAGTCCTCCAAAAGGAGACACGTTGAAAGTGGGAGTCCTGCAAGGATCAGTATTGGTACCTGTGCTTTTTAACCTGTTCATAAACAATCTAGAGCTAGGGTTGAACAGTGAGGTGGCCAGGTCTGCTGATGATACTAAACTGTTCAGGGATATTAAAGCAAAAAGACTGAAATGTTCCCAAAGCACCTCTCCAAACAGGGATCGTTAGGAAAGCAACTGAAAAATAAAACTTCCAATATTATAATATCGTTATACAATCTATGGTGTAACGACATTTAGAATACTGTTTATACAGTTCTGGTCACCTCTACTGGTGTGCTATGGGGTAATGTTATTACCTAAGACTAAAGAGCATCAGTAATTAATACAGAGATGTTATTGCTGTGACAAGTCAAGGCACCACTTTGTAACCTCAGGCTACTTAAAATTCACCAGCTCTTTCCAGTGTTTAATTTCTTGGAAAGTTCTTGACAGCAGGGCTCAAATCTGTTTAGAAATCATTTCTTTTGCCAGTGATAAGACAACGGAATTTCTTCCAGTTAAGATACATGTTAACTGAGTGAGCTGGGGGCCAATTTCAGAGTTTCGTTAGTTTTAAAGGTTTTTGAAACCTACATATAACAAAGCTGTTTCTAAAACGTAAGTATTTGACATCTTTCTTAGCTTGGCCACAGCTTTTCATTCCCCAATGAAAAGCAGGAAGTCTCCATGTGTTAACTCTTCAGGTAAGGCTACTCTCAAGGCTTAAGAAAAGGATCTAGAGTCCTTACTGTGTCAGAGTTCCCTTCCAGCAAGATATTGATTGCTCTGTTCACATCTCCATTACAGTCATGTAGAGCCACTATGCAATCATCCTGATTCTTCCCAGTCACTTCCATAAGCTGGAAAAAAACACAAATATATGAGTCATGTTAAAGAGACCTTGATAACATGACAAAGGGAGTCTAGGCAACAAGCGGAAAAATAGGTTAAAAATATACCTACAATTATATATATACACACACCATCCCAAAGGCACTGGGTGGGTAGCAATACAAGTTGCCCCAGGCCTCAGACAAGTTCTGCATGGGCCTGGTTACAGCGCTGTATTCAGCTAAGTTTCAGTCAGAGTGGACCCACTGAATGGAACGGATCCAAGTTAAATGAATGGATCCAAGTTAATCATGGCCATTAATTTCAATGAGTCTACTTTGACTGAAACTTAGCTGAATACGGTTCATAATTATTATTATTCAAGCTGAAGTTTTAGTAAGCAAGTGGACTTGAACCAGGCTTGAAGTAGCAAAGGGTATTCTCCACCAGTCCATGAAAGCCAACCCGCCCACTCACCAGGGACAGGGGGAAAACATATACCTGTTTCACTTTATCCTCAAAGTCTGCATCGTTCTTATCGTAGATCATCTGAGCAAGGCGAATTTGTTCCGCTGTTGCCTGGGAAGCACAAACAGATCGGTTATAGAAATACACACACAAGAAAAAAACAACCAGTGCCAATCCCTCACAGAACAGTTCTTAAAGCAGACAATTTAGCATTGAACACAAGACAAAGTTGTTAAGTTTTATCTAAATTATCAAAGGAACCACTGTTCGGGTGCATGGCCTATTATGAGCCCTAATCAGAGAACTACAAAGCCTGAATTTCCTGCCCATTTTTTTGCCTAATTCTGTCACTCAATCTTTGCACACAATTTAATTCAATAAAGTGTTTATTTCAGAGCAATGGCATGGTTCTGGCTGGTGGAATGGGGCAAGGGGTACTGGTATTCCCCCCACTGCCCAAACAGGAAAAAGCCAGCAGAAATAAAGGCTGGTGTTCTTTTAACCAATATATCTAAGAAAGCAACCTTTAAACAGTTAGGCATAGTGATGTGATGTGAGAATATTCCCTGCTAGAAAATTCTCCAGAGAATATTCCCCAAGAACTGTAAATTCTAACATAAGAACCAGTTTTACAACCCACATTTAAAAAATCTAGTAAATAATAAGTCAAGCTGTGATATTGCCAGTGTAAGTAATGAATAATGATTTTTGATCCAGTTACATTACTGGGCATTGTGTCATTCACCATTGGCAGTTCTGAAATGTGAGCTACAGAAAACTTTTTTTAAAAAAGTTTTAAAAATTCATTTAAAATTTGAGTAAAATTTGAACTTATAGTTAGAGCAAAATTTGAAAGGCTACGGGTTTGCAATCCTAGACTGGATGGTAAGCACTCCTAATTCAAGTAGATAAGATGAATCTTATGGGCTGTCATGTGTTTAAACCCACTGTGCAATGGTATTTCCGACATCATTGCTTGATCTTGATTAATTCTTACAGGTTAAGAATTACTGATACATGGATCCAGAATGTCCACATCCCTACCTGTACTACTGGTTTCTGTGGTTGCGTCAGCTGCGTGGCTGAAATCTGCGCTTTGTCTCGAGTGCCCCGGGTACGTTCACTGCCCACCGAAGTCATCATATACAGTATATACAAAACAACGTATGTACAAAATAGAAAATCTGAAAAGAGAGAGGGAAAATCCAGCTGAGTTAAGCACTGTTCCTAATATGAAAAACTGGCATAAATGACAGTATACAGATTAACACAAAAGAGAGCTAATTATGTTCATATCCCAAGTAGCAATGTGACAATCTTTTTTCTTTTTTTAGCACACATGGGAAGTAAAAATGCATTTCCTAAAAAGTTTGGCAAGGTGCTACCTCAAAACTCCTATCTGCAGAGAAGGTCGGGGCCAGGGTCCAAAAGGCTACTTTGCTTGAACACTGAGAGATCTCAGACTTCCTTTCCTTGAATAAGAGACTCAGATGACATTCTACAAGCTACTTTAGGAACCTACCCCAACTTTAAAAGTGGTTTCCCATGCAGCACAGAAGTAGAGATGTCTAGAAATTGCAAGCCCAAAATCCACATGAAGACAGAAAATGGGTTGTGGGTTGTTTGCATCTTTTGTACCTAAAGATTTCCTTTAATGTGGTCCATATCAGCTGCTACCACATGAGATTAATGAGATGACTTCTATCAAGGGTTCTTCACCACAAAGGGAAGGGGGGAACATCTGAATTAACTGTTTCTACATTCTCCAAGGTGTTAACTCCTTTTAATATCAGTTCAAATGGCAAGTACAGTGGTACATCTGGTTGCGAACGGGATCTGTTTTGGAGCCCCTTTTGCAACCTGAAAGGAACGCAACTCGCTTCTGCGCACGCGCGGGTCGCAATTCGCCGCTTCTGCGCACACGCATGATGTCATTTTGCACGCCTGGCGAAACCTGGAAGTAACCCTTTCCGGTACTTCTGGGTCACCGCGGGACGCAACCTGAAAAAACGTATCATGAAGCAAATGTAACAAGAGGTATGACAGTAGAGAAAAGTGAGGTACGGGTAAAGGTATGTGATTTAAGATTTAAGAAGAGCTACCTGCTCCTATTCCACTTTTTCTAATTGTAAATTCATGTGCTCATATGTGGGGGGGGGGGCTGCCTCCATTCATCTGAACATAGGTGTAATCATGGCTATGGCTGGTCACAGGGGTCCTTTGATCAAGTGGCTTAGTATCTCCGAATCTGGGAGAGTTGTGTACAGCTATTAACCAAATGAAAAACAAGGAAGCCAGCGGACCTGATGGGATACCTGCTGAAGTCTTCAAAGTGGGTGGAGTTGAACTTACACAACAAGTTCACAAGCTCATCAAAAATATCTGGGAGAGAGGAGGTCCCAGTGATTGCTTGGGTCAAACCAACATACCAGAAATAAGCAACCTGTGGGATGTTGTCATATGCAAACAGTAACAACTGCAAACACAAACCTGTAACATTTTAGCTATCTGAAGAAGTCTTACACAGCATTCTACAGAGTCATCTGACATTTCACTGCTGACTCGTGCAGTCTCACCAGCATTCTAACTAGGGCTGACCCAAATGCCTTAGTTTCCTCAATTTCCCAACTTTTCATGGATCATAGGTGGCGTGTGAAAACCCACCCAAAATGTGGGAGTGAATTACTTGCATATCTTAGAATGAGCTGATCTAAGAGTTTGGGTCCTGATTACCCACTCCTCTTCTTTTCTTTTTAAAGCGAAACCACAGGTCAGCTAAGTACCCCCTGGCATCACAGCTGCTGCACACTTTGTACTTTAACAGCTGCTAATGTCCCTGGGAAGACACTATGTAATAGTACTGCATCCATACCATGGTCCACACAGTTTTAAAATAAAAATGGAAGGAAGTGGGGAAGGAAGTCATTGGAGTGCTCTGGTGGTGTTTCCTGCTTGGCAGGGGGTTGGACTCGATGGCCCTTGTGGTCTATTCCAACTCTATGATTCTATGATTGGACCGGCTCATATGATGACAGGCAAGTACTAGCCCACCTTAAAGTCCTGAGAATTTCTCCCAAACCATTTAGAAGGAAACTCTGACAAAGCTGGGTGTAGCTTTGCACAGTCTTAATTTTAACCTCCTCTTCCAGCTATTAACAAATTTAGCTTTTATTGGCCAAGTCTATATATCCAGCAACTGAAACGTTGAATGCAATATGGAAAGAATCACTCCAGAGATATGGCAAAACAATCAAACCACCACTTCCTTGAGCTCTTGCATAGTTAACTAAAGAGAGCGTCCTGTACCTGGAAATGGCTGCAGGATCTGACCCAGAAGACCACATTCCATTATGACCAAACCTGGCAAAGCCCAGCTTGTCTGCAACTTTGAAGATGATCGAAGATCACCTACTCAGCAGACTTTTCACTACTTGAAGCCCATTTGCACAAGCCATATAATGTGATAGCAGTATGGAAAGGAAGAGGCATAAAGTGCTACTTGTGCGATATGATGTGCAGAAAGTCTATAGCTCAAGCTTTTCTGAGGTACTGCTTAATCTAAGACATGAAGCACACCCAATTTGACTGCTCATTTTAAGGCAAGTGAGGGCATTCATAAGGTCACAAAATACCAACTTTATGCCGCCACTGGAATGTTAAACTGGCCCTATGAACTGGCCCCAATTCTTTTGCCAGAACTATTGACAGATAAATTTTGTTGTACCTTCACCTTCCACTGAAAGGGCTAGAAATTTGCTCCCTAAAAATCTGCAATGATGCCTAGATTCTGTATCCAAGACCTTTCAAGATTTCTGATGCAATAAGGGCTTACAAGGAGCCAGGTTTTCCCTTTCATTGTGTCATTACTTCACTGCAGCGTCCACACATTTCTTACCCGTTATCTGCAACCATCTAACAGTTCCAAGGCTATTAGCATGTAACTGGTCTGCTCTCTTATTGTAAGGATGTTTTCCCGTTCATTTGTTTTGGATCTTTTTTGTACTGGAAAGGCATCTTTAAAAGCTAGAATTGATTTATTCAGGTTGGAGCAGAGGCAATCTGATTATGACAAGGTTGTTATAAAATTTTAGGGTATACACACACAGCAGACACATACTCCACAGAAACCAATCCTTCACCCTTCAAATTTTAGAAAATATTCCCTGGGAAAATTACACATAATTTCAGCACACAGAAACAGCCCAAAAAGCCACCTTGGCTCTCCTAATAACTCTAAATATTCCCTCTACAGAATGAAAATATCTTGGAGAAACCTTTCCCAGTTTCTACCTGGTCCAGGAGGCGTGGTCCAGACTTGCCCAGAACTGCTAAAAGGCTCCTGGGAGGCCAGAGGGACATTGCTGCTCCCTGCTGCAAGGAGGCTGAGGGCACACTCCACAAGGGGTGTTTGAAAAAGGGTGTGAGGCTGCCAGCTCTGCATGCAAAGGGTGACATAACTGGGCTCCTGAGTCCCACAGAGGTGCCGCAGAAAGAATGCAGTTGGTCAAGGGACCCATGAACTCAAAAAGGTTGAAAACATCTGCCTTAGAGAAAAGAGAAGCACAGAAATGCATTCTTCCTCTCCCCTGACTCCATATGAAGAGGAATAATTGGGGAACATGGGGGTTGCTGCACTCATAACACCATCTCCAGGTCTCAGAATGCAGGCCTCCAGTTCAGTTGTGTGTTTTAAGAATTAAAAAGAACAACAACAACAACTGCGGGAGATTCCCCTGTTACAAGGTCTAGGTCAAGTAGAAGCAAAGAACTGAACATTATAACCATTGTTCTTTTTAAGAAACATACTCCTCCTGAACTGGAACAAGAAAATCAGGCTCTTACAGAACCTATAATTCCTTTACAATAGTGATGTGGCAGAGGGCAGCATTTTGTACTAAAACATGCTTATAACTGGCATTGCGATGTTCCTACTAGAGGATGGAAGACTAAAAGCCTATTAAAGGTCCATGTCTACTAAACCAAAGACTACTTTAACATGCAACTTAGTAGTGTGCCTACTACAAGAACAAGCAGGTAATACCTAGGGTTTGAGCTTTTGAGTTTGGAGAGGGGTGGCACACTGGAAGGAGATTGAGGGAAGAGAAGAGAATCATTGTGTGTGGAAAGAGAAGAGGATCAGTTAAGACCTAAAATCTCAGCTAGAACTCAGGTTCTGGCTATTTTATACTTTTAAGATGGCTGGGTCTGCTTAGCCTGTTTCCTTTAGGCTTCAAGGATGGTATGGATTTTTTTTCAGAAAAACCAAAAGTACGAGTTGAAAAGTGGGGTGAAGAAATGAGAAACATTTCATACAGTCCCCAAACAATTAAAATGTTCTGGTTTAAAAAAACCAGCTAAAGGTTGGCTTAATGTGAACAAACAGTATGATGGAGACGTTTCTGCTGTACTCCTCCCCTACTCCAGCCACACTCTAGCTTGTAGTGGTGTCCAAGCTGAGGCTTATGGTGTGTTGTTCTCCAAACAAGCCATGAGCAGTCACCATGGTTTATTCTTAGCCAACCGCTCGTGGCTAAACCATGGGACTAGGTTTGGACATCACAACAAGGCAAAATCCAGCTTTGTTTCCCAGCATCACAACAGCAGCAAGAATAGGCAAGGAGCACAATAACTTTTCAGCAGTGTACGTGGGCATAAGTGTTGTTTTTTAACTGTGGTTTAATGCAACATGCAAACTAGCCCAGCCTGTGCCTATGGGGCCAGAGACTAAAGATTGTGAGGAGAGAAGGTGGATGTGGTTATTGTTTAACGTTCATATTTTGAACCCAGATCCACCAGACCATTTTAGATTTCAAGTGAGCCAGTAAACCAGTGTTCCCCAGTCTGATGCCCTCCAAATGCTCTGAACCATGTCTCCAAACAGTCCCATTCAGCTGTACTTCAAAACATCTGGAAGGCACCGGATCAGGGAAGGCTAGACGAAGCACTCCGCTTTGAATCCTACTCAAGAAGCCTAAGGCACAACAGCTACATGCAGTTGCTAGGAATTTACATTTAAGAGCAAGATTCTTATAAACCTAACAACGTACAAGGAAACAAAATGCAGTGAGCCAAGACCAGGACATTGCATGCTTTTGCCAGATGGGGGGGGGGACAATTTGTGTGTGTTCTGCTTACACACAAGCTCATACACTGCACTCTCCTGAACTTTCTAAACTGCTCCACC